GGTGTGTGGATTTCTTAATGAAAGTAATATTAGCTTAATCACTTCACTGCTCCCTCCAGGTCACTTGCCTTTTCCACTCTTTAACTCCTTCTCTGACATATCACAATAGCACTTTGCCAAAGACTGTGTGTTTGTAATCCTTAAGGGAAAACAGCCTCCCTTTTTACCCCTTTGTTCTCTTGTTGCAAAGTAGTTCTGTACTATTAAATGGTTTAAATTAATCAGTAGTTGGTTCATCTTGGTGTTTCTAGTCTATTGGGTTTAACACTAGGCAGGTTTAAGTTAGTTTTCCTTTACTTTAGAGCCATAACTAACAACTCCAGTTCTAAGACTTGAGTTTCTTTTACATGTTGCCAAATTTCTAATTCTCTGCTTGATTGGTCTCTAGCTGTCTGTACTTAAAATATTAAATTAGTGTTTTAGTTACAAATTCATGAATTAAAAATACTATGGGTATAGTTGATCGTCATCTCCACCTGTTTGTGCTTGTGTGCTGCTATGTTATCTCACCATACTGCTTTTCAGCATGGCAGCCCATGCACCCTAAACATACTTCTGCTCAGCATTTTATTGCATCTTTTCATTCCATGTGCAGTAAACGATGCATAACCTTTATGGCCACAGTGGAAGGACAGGAGGACATGCCCTGGGGTCAAGAAGGGACAGCAGCTCATTACCCATCTGCTCATGGGTAACAGGAAGCCTCACCCTCAGGTGTTGTCACTGCAGCATCAGTTCTGGCATGATGTGCTGCTTTTAAAACAATGCCTGGCTTCTTTCTTTATTCCTACTCATTGCCGAGAAATGACAATTGAATAATTAAGGCACAAAGCAGAGAGGGTTTAGCAAATCATGAACTGTTTTTCATTTGCCTCATTAAGCTGCTGTTAACTACTTAAAGCCATCTGCTTAAAAATAATTTACCCATCTTAAGTTTGCTCAAGAGAGCAGGTAGACCTTCATTAGAGCAGGTTTTGTTATTAATGTTATCTTTAGGGGGCTTTCAGTTGTTGTGGAAAATATTGTGTTGCTCACTGAACTAAACTTTCCCTGTAAACAAAAGGAAGTGGCACATGTTTGTAACGTGAGAATGAGCTATGTGGATGCCTAGTGTCCCTATTATCTACTACCATCCCCAAAAATGAGCCTCGGAGAGGAAGAGCAGCCAGATCCATCACAGTGCCTCAGCAGTAATTGAGAAGGGGGAGCCCTGCAGCCTGTGCCCTAAATTGGCAACTGTGGAAAAACAAGTTGATTTGTCTCCCCGGATTTGTAAAGAAGCAATTTCACTGACAGAGGACAGATCACCAGAGACTCTCCCTCCTGTCTCAAGCTGAGATTCATTGTCATTTCAGTTAGACAGTATGTACGCTCCTTTCTGACCTGCTCTATAATTTTGTGGTTTGCTGTGAAATAATTGTCCTGGTTCTTATAAGAGGAGACTGTTTCAGCAGTGTGCTAAGATCATTTGGAGCAAGACTAACTTTAGAAATACTAGATAACTAATGGTATGAGAATTTAAGAGAAGATCCTCCATTCAGTCTGTGGGAAGAGGTGGACGTGATTTGTTGAGTATTAGCTGAAACACAATATATGACTAAAATTTGACTAAACATAGATCTTTCATCAGTAAATTTAAAAACTCATTAAAATATTGCTATGAAATTGATTTTTTCCCCCCAATTTCATGCTGTTTATTAAGAAGGAAAATGGCAATATTGAACATGATACAAAGCTTTTGAAGTAACTGAGCAAAAATGGTGCTGTGAATGTTAAATATCGTTGTCTTTCTATTAAGATTTTATTTGGCTCTTTCTGGCAAGGAGGAAGCATACAAGTGACAGAGAGACAGACAGCACAGATTTGCACAAAACATACTTTCAAATGTGTGACAATCCACGGCTTTTCGGGATTACTTTTGGTGGCAATAGTTGAAGGTGTTCTTTGCAACTACAGCTACTGTGTTATTCTTACTTAAAGTATGATTTCCCAAGGAATCCTTGACTGGAATCCTTTTATGTTTGCCCAGTCATCTGGCCCTACATTTGAAAAAGTAGGTAATGAATCTTACTTTGTCTTGATCGGAAGGAATGAATGTTCTGAAAATGTATACAGGTCATTGAAGAGAATATGTGGCATCTGCCATATTTCATATGCCCTCATACTCTTTGCTATATTTATCTAAATCTGGAAATAGTTTTACTTCAGGATTTCGCTGTGAAACACTTCTTCACAACAAAAACCTTTAAGTTACATAGAGATAATTAAATAATTCTTGTATATCAAATATATAAATAAAAATGAAATCCATTTCTAAATTTTCAAAATACAACATTTTAAATATAATGATTACCTTCACAGCTGTCTACTGAAGAGTAGCCTGTGCCAAGATGCTATTGTAAACTCAGTTATTCAAATCACGAGGTGTTCCTTCTTAGTACTGTGGATTGACATACAAGGTCAGCACTGATTGAAAAACTTTTGCAAGCAAAACATTTTGAGTTGAGCCGAGTTAAATCTCTGAATCCATCTGAGCTGTAGTTCAATAAGCAGAAGAGAGTGATAAGAACCATGGACCTTCTGATGATAAGTTTGGGTAGCGACCTTGTTTATAGGAGAGAATGATATGTGATGACCCAGATCTACAGATTTCAGCAGCTATATATTTGCGATGTCTTTAGCATGTCCACTGCAGGTGAGAGCAAGTTGTCAAAGTCCTGCAATCTATCACAAAGAGACTGCTTTAATTTTCAGTCATTTCTAGTTACAGTCCTTACACAGAGTACAGCAAATTCTCCTTCAGAAACATCTTCTGATGTTAGCACAAGACCTGAAGGAGGTCTTGCCAGGGTGCAGTTAAATCAGCTGTATAAGCTGGAAACCTTGCTGTGCTTAAACCTCAAGAGAGGAGTCTTGCAAAGCAGTGGTTGAGAGCTGGAGTGAGGTATGCAAAATGGGAATAAAGAAAATACTCTGCTGGGAGTTGCAAGGCCCTCAAAAGCCCTTAGCCTTACGATGTTAGCTTTTCGCTTCCTGAGTAGGAGGAGGATCTCTATCTGAAATGCTCGTGGAGTTCTGTTCTCTGAAAACACGAAGAAGGTGCAAAAAAGGCTGTCTAGAGGATGGTTCTGAGTCTTTTGTGTGCTGATGCTTCTGGTTCCTGCATTCCCTGTACTTTTTATCTAAGGTGAGAAGTAATGTGGAGGAAGAAAAGAGCTGCTGACAGGAGAGACAGACAGTTCTCAACTGACTGCCTGAAGGAAGTAGACATGAAATGGAGCGTGTTTCTGATAACTGACTTTGGAAACTCACCTGGAACGTGGATATCTCTGATTAAGAAATAAAGCTTTTCTGCTCATCTTCCTGCTCTTTCCTGCCCTGAACCCAGCTGGAGCTGCTACAAGATGAACCATGCTTGAGGGTTCATCAGCCCTGTCCTGGCTGGGGACTGAGTGCATCTGTGAAAGAAAGCTGGCAGAAGAGCAGTGCTGACTACAGTGACATAGCTGAGCTGGCAAGGAAGCAGCAGCTTAACATGAGTTGTTTTAAACTGTCCCTGAGCAGTGCTGACACCAGTTGTAACTTTGAAATCTTGGAGTGGTTTGCTTATTTTTCCCTTAGTTCTTGTGTCTACCTGTGAATGTAATTGTGCATTGAAGGAGTCATGTCTAAGAAGAAAGTGACTCATGACCTGAATGTCCTTTTACAGCTCAGAGCTAGAAAGCTTATGAAAACTCATTGCAGCTAAATCACGAAGTAGCTGGATATGAAAAGGCTGTCTAGAAGATACTGAGATAGAAAAGCAGGAAGTCATTTGCTACAAATTCACAACCTGAAACCAAATGGAAAGGCTACAGGCTTTCCACTTGGTCGTTGCTTTGTTTAGAAACCCATTAGTAAATACCAGAGGAATCAAGAGGCTAGAAGCATCTACCAGCTCTAACCTATGCACATCTTCAGAGACAAGCAGGCATGCTGGGGCAGGACAGTGCTTGGATGAAAAAGGCACAGAAGGAGAGCTCCAGACCTCTCTTGTACACCTTCATCCCAGAAAGGCTGTGAATAATACAACTTTCTGGAGGTACTTTGGAAAAGGAAGTATCATACCTTTTTTTCACCCAATAAAAGGGAACTTGCATGAGTATAACAGCCATGTTTAGGGCAGAGAATTTCTGGTATTGTGACAGAGTTGGTCTTAAACATTTCCTTTCGCCTAGCTTGAGCAGACTAAGACTCTTCTGGTGCCAGTGTTTTGGGGGCTGTAACGTTGGGAAAGAAAAGGTTATGTGCTGTTCTGGTTGGAGTCATTCTCATACTGTGAGTGTACTGCTTTTTGAATGAAGGGTTTACTGAGGGAGTGCTTACCGTGGTTGGCACAGGAGCTCTGAGACTGAGTCACACCAGTAGGCTTTTTGTGGGAATGCATGATAGTTCACCCAGAAAGAAATGTAGGTAGTCCTCACCTACACCTCTGTGTGTGAGAACTACCTACATGTGTGAGCTATTCTGTCAGTACAGAATAGCAATGGCTGTGTGAAAGTCACTACCTTGTTGGAAATAAAAAGCTCCTGGGAAGATCAGGTTTGGTGTAGTTCATGGCAGTTCATAGCCAGCCACATGACCTGGTTGCATCCTGGATAGAGAGATCTTACGGCAGGGGGGGGTTACATATATTTTTTTACATATATAAAAAAAGATTTTAAACCCTAGCAGCAAAACAGGTTCTGTGGAATGAAGGAAAACCAGAGGTTAAATTAATTTTTGATATGAGGAATAGCCTGTGCAGAATGACACTGAACACATAAAGCAACTTCCATACCTAGCAAGTAAGTCTGGAGGGGAAAGGGGATACAGTGCCACTTTGTCCTTCTAAGCAGGCTTGAAATATTGGTAACTACAACAGTAGCCCTTAACACAGTAAGTGTGTATTTTGAATAAATTTAAGGTGCTATTATATAACAAATTCAACTCTTTTTTTTCCTTTTTTTCCCCTCCTACAGATCACACATCCGTGGGCGGGCTGGGAGACAGTTTTTATGAATATTTATTGAAAGCCTGGCTTATGTCAGACAAGATGGACACGGAGGCAAGAAAAATGTACGACGATGCCATTGAGGTGATTATAATTCATGGAGTTTTCCAATACCACTGAACTGCAAAACCATCTTTAACACTTTAAAAAAAAAACAACCCTAAAAACCCCAACCAAAGCACCCCCTGGTTTTGATTATGTAAGTTTTAAGAAATCAAGTGGTGAATAATACTAGCTTTCACTCTCAGTAGTTCAAGAAGTATTATTGTAGAATACATCTGATGCAGATTGTTGGGCTAAAAATACTCAGTTTGTCCAAAATTGTATAATGTAAGTGCCCAAACTATAGTTTATTAGAAAGAGATTGAACAACTCTAAGATGTCTGCAGAACAACCAAATCACTTCTTTCCAGTGTTCAGAATCATTCTAGGGGTTGAAGTTCTGAATTGTTTTATTCTTTAAAGTATTTTATAAAACATGTAGAGGTTGTATTCCATATTTATCTTGTAAAATGTAGTTCATACCTATTCCTTGCTTTATGGTTCTTTAGTGATGTGATCTTGCTCCCTCTCACAGATGAAGTAGTGCTTGCCCAAGCAGAGCAGCACTGCAGGATGGTTCAGTGGGATTTGAGGTGGGGGGCCTTGTTGTGGTGGCTCTGGGCTTTATGCTGCCCAGCTCTTACTTTCTTATCATTTCCCCACACTTATCTTCTTTTATCACACTCGCTTGTGCCTATACATGCCAACATGCCGGTGCTAACAGTTAAGGTATGTGGAGAGTAACTAAGCTGGTTTTAATCAGGTTGGCTTTGGTACCAACAGCAGCAGGGACTGTGTAGTCTTGTCCAAGTGCAGATATGTGCTTGGTGCCAAACTTGTTCCATGCTCTGTGCATGCCATGTTTCTTTCAACACAATCTCCTAAAGCAAAACACCTAAAAATTCGCATTTTAAAGGCTATATAGTGAAAGTTCTAGTCTAAAATTGCTTTGAAGCTGTAATATGTCTTATCCTTGACCTGAATTTGATTAATTTGACTTTCAGCTACTTGTCCTTTTTCCTCCCCTACATTGTTTTCCAGGGTTATCTGCATTATGTAGCAAGGTGCCATACACATTCTCTCATAAAAGAGATGCATTATTTTCTTGAGTCTCACAATATAAAACAGATTTTTAATTATTTCCTAAGGTTTTTTTTCTAAATACTTTCCACTGTCTTCAGTATGGAGACAAGAATGTAATGGTTCAACACCAAATTTCTTCTCCATGTTCACCTCTTCAGCCAGCCAAGAGCTGTGTTTGCACTCTTAACCTTTGCCTCAGTGTCATCTGCTTTCCACTTGGTTTTGCTCTGAAGTCAGTTACATTCTTTTTGATTTACTGCTTTCCTGCTACTGTGATTTAAATTCATGATTCCTTGATGTGTGATTCCTATTAAAACACAATTGTTCAGGTAAAACCCACTTTGTCCCCTGTTCTGAATGATTTTACAGGACTGACTTTTCCTTTATCACTGTCTATAGCTCCATCAATTTTGTGTCATCTGCACTTTTCTTTCAGCATTTATTTCTTGCAGATTGTTGGTAGAAGTGCTGCCTAGCATTGAATAAAAGTGTCTTTGCAGAATCTTCATGGGATGAGGGTTTTGAACAGCTACTCTAACCCTCACTCATCCTTTGCCACATGTAATCAGAAAGCTGCCACGAAGAAGCAGCTAGAAGTTGGCTGGAGCACTCCTGTCACTTCCTATTAAAGACTGACTGAAAATACTGGTGCCTGCCTGTACATATATTGCTGATCGAAATATTCTAACATGGATGTATCTTATGAGTACGCACAGACTGTACAGCAGAACAAATAGGTACCTCTCAGAGTTAACAGGTAGACAAACACTGTTTGAGCCATAAAATACATGCTGAATTCTCAGCTAAAAGTGCAGTTTTATCTGTGTTGTTATTTTCCTCTGTTTGATCTCATTAGCATCGTTTAGCAGTTAGGGTACTTCTTGTGTGCATTGAAATTATATTCTTATAGCTGTTTGCTCCTGAAGTGCTAAGAAGTGAATTTGAAAGAAGAATTTTTTGTTGCTGTTTTAAAAACAGTACTTTATTCTTTGAAGGAGAGTTTAGTTATGTAAAAATTGCATGTAAAACAGTATTTGAAAGTTCTCTTAATTTTCTTGTAGGCTATAGAAAAACATCTCATCAGAAAGTCCAATGGAGGACTGACCTTCATTGGGGAGTGGAAGAATGGGCACCTTGAAAGAAAGATGGGCCACTTGACCTGTTTTGCAGGGGGAATGTTTGCCCTTGGAGCAGATGGTTCCAGAGATGATAAAGCCGGACATTATTTGCAGCTTGGAGCTGAAATTGCACATACATGTCATGAGTCATATGACAGGACAAGTAAGATCTATTCCTGATCTAGTTATTTCACTAGTTGAAATACAGATATTGTTGTAATTACTTTTTAAGATCTGTTATGGACCTATGCCTTATCTAACATGCAGTGATTTCTATACCAGTATAAATTTTGAACGTCCATGTATTTAATTCAGATCTACATCATGGTGAGTAAATGTAAAAACAGATTTTATGTGGTTCCTTCCTGCATATTTATCCCTATTTTCAGATCAGCGAACTAAGATAGGTTATGTGAGTACAGGGAGGAAAGACTGTGTGTGGACTCTTGTCCTCTGAGATATATAGGGCAGTTTTTCATTTCATATATACTGTTCTTACTGTTATGTAGAGTTAAAAATTTGTAAATACAGCTTTTACTGGTTTTTAATAATAGTACATTCTGGGTAAGTACAATTAAACTAGATAACTATTATGCAAACTGTGAGACAGCCAAAGACCTGACTAGTGAGGAGGCAGTATTGGGCTGGAAGGTTCCCAAGTTCAATCCTGTGGAACAGGTTTATTTTACATTTTTAATAGTGACCTCTGCATGAAGTTGAAGTGTGCTGACTGGAGTTACAGTTGCGATAAGATCACAAGACACAATTAAAACAGAAGAGTCTCAGAATAATAAACAGGAAGATCTTGAGGGCTGGACTGTCAGAAGTAAGTTCACTAGAAAAAGGCAGGAGCTCTAAACTGGGAGTTTAGAGAAACCTGCCCATTGCAGTTCTCATCTGTATCAGGTGAGGAATTTTCAACAGAGATTAGGGAATATTAGCACTGCCTTAGCAGGCATGTATCATTTGTCATCCAGAATGTGCTGTACGAATCTGAACTTCAAGCAGAGCAAATGCAAACAAGAATCAATAGAATTATTAAAGCAACAGAGCTTTTGTTTTACAGTCAAAAAATAAGACAGCTTGGTCTGCTTAGACTAGAAAAATAACGCCAAAGAAGGAAATAAATCTGTTGTCATCTCAAGGGGTAAAGAGTGAAAAGAAACAGAGTTATTTTAAGATATAAACTACAGAGTTGTACCAAGAGCAAGGTTTGTAAGCTCGCCATGAATAAATGTAGGTTAGAAACTGGAAATAGCTTTGCGTAGCCATCAGAGAAATGAGCTTCCGGAATAACTTCCTAGTAGAAGTAACAGTAACTAAAGCTCAGTTTTAAGATGAGAATTCCTGTGTTTATTCACAGGATTATGTAATATCGCTGTATAATTGCCTGTCATTTTAAAGAATTCAATCCCATAAGTGATGCTTCTACCTTGGTAGCAACAGCATTAAGAAAAAAAAAAAGGAAGGAAAAAATAGGAGAATGCTTAAGGGAAAAGGTAGGGCACAGTAACTGTTGTAGCATTCTCAAAAGCTGCATTTAAATGTTTCATTTGACACTTAAAGTGAACACTGCTAAATTTACAGTTGTTTGTGCCCTCCTAATTTTATTCCTTCAGATGTTTCTTCTGTACCCTAATTAAGTCAAAAGATGGTGAGAGGTAAAAGTTAGGGTTATATATTTAATGACTGAATAGAACACACACATGCAGGAAGCAGTCTGGAAGCTGTACAGACACTATACGTTTGCAATGCCCTAGTTTTCTTTTGTTCAATGCTGCAATCTCAGGAATGTGGATTTTTTTCCCCCTGGACTGATTTTTCAAAGCAAATAAAGAACCGTTACGTGCAAAATACCAACTTCATTATGCTTCAACAGCAGGATTTGAGACAGAATTGTACACTTCAATGCAGAGTTATCTGGCTGCAGAAAAACACTCTCTTTCAGAGGGTAGGTAGTCATCCTGGTTCAACTGATACCTTTATGTTTCAGTCAGCAAAGGGGAGAGCCTGATCTCTTTCTTTATAGACTTGGGATCTCTTTCCCCATTTGTTTTCCTCTGAGGAGACAGCAAGGTGCTGAGGCTGAGTGCTGAGGCTAGAGAGCTCTTTTCTTCGCATGAACCAACCAGAGCTATGCTTTCATGTGTATTCCCAGGATTGCTCATAACTGCAGTAGATGCCTGGTTTTATAATATTTTAGTATAAAAATACTACTTTATGAAGCAACTTAAATTTCAAGAAGGATGGAGCATGAGGCAAAAACATACTGTTTCAAGGTCCAGTCTCAGCAAAATTGAAACAGAATTTCACAGAATAAAACACTTCTGGGAAAGAAGGGCATTCTATTGCCAACTGCCAAAAAAAAATATATATATTGATACTTAAGAAAGCTTAAGTCAAACTAAATTCTGTATTTGCTACTGGCTTTTACAATAATGTTTTCATATAAATCATGGAATACCATCTCCTGAAATTCTGGTTTGAAATCATGCTTTCCATGTCTTGCATAAATAAATAAGCTTGATGGCATGACAGATGATTTAGGGTCCAGGACTTCGGGCTTTTCAGATGAATTTCATTGGAGTAACTTTTATCTGGACAGATTTTCCCAGCGTGATAAGAGTAAACTGTTCCTGTCTTGCAGTCACAGTCCACATGCCCATTTAGCATTGAGGTAATCTTCTGCCAGGACATTTGTGGCATGAATTAGGATTTTTTTAAGGCAGTAACAGCATCCTCTCAGGTCACTTTCCCTCTCATATATTACCCTAAGTCTTCAGACAAACTCTATCACCCTCTATAAGGCAGAGCATTTGTGGTGAATTCAGCCTTCTTTAATGGAACAAGACATATTTTGTCAAGCTAATGTAGCCCTTTCACTTGTTTCTGTTTGCCTGTCTTCATTTCTTTGCCTTTGGGACTGAAGTTATCATCACACTTGATGTGAAAAGTCACCTGGTGAATTTTGATTGCCCAGACTCTTATTGTTTCTAAGACCAGCTTCTGGTACCTTGGATACATTTGCTTCTGTTGATGGCTTCTGAGACCCTTGAGGTCTTAGACAGGCCATTATGAATCCCTCTCCACTTTCTGGTTTACCTGTTGAAATCAGGCATTCTATTGCCATCCAGTTGGTGCTCTCAGCAGTAGATCTTCATGTTTAGGAGCCATTGTCCTAGCAGGCAGTCATACCCTCTTCTCCCAGCTGACAAATGGAAGGGAAGATTGTATTGCAGGAACCCCTGGGTTACAGTGCTCCCAGACATATTCAAACCCATTCCCTAACTCAGATACTTCTTTGAGGTTCCCTACATGCACAATAAAAGCGTGCGTGTTTTGCCACAGATTGGGGAAGATTGAGGACCACCCTGCAGATACGAAAGCATCCTGCTTTTACACCTGTTTACTGATGCCCATCCTTCCTTTTCATTTTGTCAACAGCAATCACTTTGCCGTGTAACCAGCAGAAGTTGCCACTTCGCCACAGATCTGAACAGTAATGTTGTAGACTAACTTTTTTGCCTTATCATCGTTGGAATGAGAGCTTTCCACTGGCATTTTGGGTATTCCTTAGTCCTCTGGAATGTGTATCAGTGATCTATTGCAGGTTTTTTTGGATGCTCACAGTGCATCACTGGGGCTTGCTGAATATTTTAGGACATTTCTTAGCTTGACTGAAAGTGTGGAAGAAGTTAAAGTACACCATGACTTTTTGAACAGATTGTTGCGGGTGTGATACCATGCCACCACACCTCCTGGCATATAAATAAGACCAACCTCAGATCTACGAAGCTACCTTAGAGAGGCCACAGCCTATTGCACCTACATGTCTTGCTAGGTAAAGCCAAGATACTCAATCTCAGCACACACAACTCAAGTTTCTTCCTCATTACCTAACACTATTATTGTTGGTAGTTGCTGCTGCTTTAGTCAGGATATGATTCTATGATTAATCAATGCTAAGATGAATAGGTTTTTTCATAGAGTCATATTTGGAGGATGAGACCACATTTTAGAGTTAGGAGGACTTAGGTGTTCATAGAAAGCTCAGTTCAGGATGGTGATGGAGAAGATCATCCCAGCTCTACAGAGAGGAGAAGGACTTCTGTCTCTTGAATTCAAGGATATGTTGTTCTGCACCTCAGTCAAAACAGATAACAGGAGTTACGTCTTTGGTAGAAACAGACCCATTCCAGTTCAAAAGCCAGTTGCTTGACTTCTATACAGATCTGAGGTTTTTCATAAGGTACCTCGCCATCATAGTAACCCAGCTTGGGTGAAAGTATCTGCTTTTGTAACCCAAGTAACTTGAATAACTAAAAGCAGGTTAATGGTTCCCTTCAGGTTAGCTTGGGGCTTTTTAGCTTTGGACAGTTAATCTGAGTCAACATCCTACTGTTTTTAGGGAGCAAGTCTTACAGATCTAGCTCCTGAGAAAGCTTTGCTATTCTACACGTGCTAATTTCTCCCATCAGGCCCAAGACTTACTGTGCAAATGTAAGGTGGTCTGTCCATATGTGACAGCCTTCTGCTGTATGGCTTCTTACAAGTTTTGCCTTAATTCTTCTAGCTGTTGCTACATCCTTTGTTTTTCTTCTCCCATCAGATTGCACTCTGTCAGCAATCAAGTTACCATTTCAGCTCTCATGATGCTGTCTGCTCCACAGTGCTGATAAGTACAGAGAAGTTGGAAAGTCCTTGCGACCATTCCTGGTGCGTTTCCATGGGCTTTATGTCCCAGTGACAACTGGTATCACTGCCATGTAATCAATGAGAGCTTTATGCAGGGACACAGTCTCTCTGATAATCTGATTCAGCTCTCGGTGTTCTCCAGGACTATTTCAGAGCAAACCTCAGACTCCTGAGTGGGAGGCTGGAGAAGTGACTGGGGATACCATGAGAAGCTCAAGCCCTTGCCATGGCTCTGTGAAAATCCTTGTAGATTCTACTTAAGCTGAGGATCAGTCTATAGCACTCCCTGTGGGATGCATTTCTCACTCACCAGCTGGAGAAAGCTGGTGGTCTTTGGAAAGTGAAGGCCAAGGGTACAGGCATGATTCTGATCTGCCTCTGAGCAAGGGATTTGTGTTTCCATTGAACTTGTCAGAATGAGACCCCCAAGGTTCCTTCTTCTCTTCAGGAAACTGTGAATGTATGTGGCATCCCTTGGAAAACCCAAGGATTTGAAAAGGCTTATTGACAGTCCAAGTCAGAAAACAACTGTAACCAGAATAGTTTTGTGATGTGTAGCCTACACATGCCCTTGCTGCCTTCCTACTCTGCTTTTTTCTGTACTGTAACCTACTGATAGATTATTGCTGCAGTCATCTTAAATCTCCCATCCTATGACAGGAGATTTCAAGATTTTTCTCTATTCAAGTATGCTCTCAATCTGGAGAGAACATTGAGAGAACCACAGATAGAAGGCATGCTCTGATCTGTATGCCCATGTACTGGCACACTGTAAGAAATCATGATGTAGTCATCAGTGGACACTGGTCAGGCTAAAGAAATACAGCTTCATATGCTTATGGTGCAAGGTTTCTCAACCCAGACCGCACATCTTGAGGTATTCCAGTTACTGGGGATTAGTTTTTATCTTTCCATGCAGCACTGAGAAACATGGCAAAGGCATAAAATAACTGGTAAAGCAAAATCCATGAATGGTGGAAAAAAAAAAGTCCAATGAAACTGAAAGAATAGAAAGACCACTAGCAAATCCATGTGAAAAATGAGCTTTCATAGGTATTGTAAAGGTTAGATTAATAAGCAAAAGCATCTATATAGATGGCAGCATGTGCTGATCTATAGCACACAGTGTTTTTAGTAAAAGATACCATCCCTTACACATGAGAATTTTCCCAGCCATTAGCTGACAGTCAGTCAATCCTTTATATACTACAGGCAGATTATTTTAGGATGAAGTTTTTTGCATGTCTTTAAAATGTCTTGAAGAACTGTCCTCAAATCTGGGTTCAGCTGGTTCATACATGTGACAATTCCAATGCAGAATAAGCCAGATGACCAAGATTTCAAATGAGACATGGTAAGGGTGTGAGTAAATGCTTTCTCTGTCCTGAGACTTTCAGTAAGCAGCTAAACAGGCAAAGATGGAACAACGTATGTTGATGGAATGGTTCAGAAAGTCTCAAAAAAAAAGGATCCTGGAGTTTCTTTTCCTCAAATTTTATATGAATTAGACCCTAGAAACTATTATTATAATATTATGTGACAATTATTATTACTTTCAGGAAATTTATTGCTAGGTTGACTCTAATCTTAAAGGAACATGCAAAAAAAATTACACTGTTTTCAACATTATTTCTACAATGAGATATATAGATATTTATCTAGAAGTCTGAGCATTTGCCCTTATTTTTAGGAGTGCTAAATACAGCTCTCATTGAAGCAGGTGTTACATCAGTTAAAATCTCTTTTAAAATGGTACTAATTAGCTTCGCAATTTTGCATTGAGATTTGGGATGTTCTCATCTGCTCTCCCCGCCCAGCCTGTCAACCCCATTAATGCTAAAATAACTGGGTTAAAGTGTGACCGCTATAGCATTGTAAAATGGCCTTAGATAGCTGTTTGCTTAGAACAACGCTCCCCTGAAAGGTACTATGTTCATAATAGCTTCTTTACTTTAGTCAGCTATTAGTAGAAGTACTGTGATTAATTTTTCATCCTTGGTTTCAGGTAACACTTCAGTGAGATTGTCACAATATATAGGGATCACGCATCCTTGGGTGGTAGAATTTCTTGTAGTGCCCAATAATGTTAGAAGTAGATCTGAGTAAATAAGTAAAGATCTAATGCACCAGCAGGCTACAAAGCAAGTGAAGGTGTCACAGTTCCTGCAGGTTATGCATCATGAGAATTGCCTGAAATCCTGCTTCTTTGGTGAATAAGAGTAATACAGCTGCCATGGTTTACCATATTTCCAAAAGTCTTTTTCACAAGGCCATTTAGGGATATTAAGCAGCTACTGCATAAACGGCAAGTACCTCCATGGAGAAAAAAAATAGTTGTAGTATAATAAATAGGGTAGAGGTAAATAGTCAGGTCTTGCAGTGGACAAATGGTAGTTAACCAGTGGTACTCTTATATATCTGATACATATTTATACACATGTGTGTATATAGATGTCTATATATGTATAGTATATTTACATTTTATTTGTTAGAATACATGCATATATGTATATGTAAATAAACATATATGCATATATGCGCAACATGGACTTATACCCATAGCCACAGATGCTTCAAGGTATACCTTCACCAGTGTGGATTTATCCTTGAACCACAGTCCCTTCAGGGGTGTAACTACTGCAGCTCAGGCATAATTATGGCCACAGATGCTTCAAGATGTACCTGCTTTGGTGTGAACTGATTCATGGCCATATGTTGTGATTTAAGTTTAGTGACATGGTTTAGTGGTGGCCTTGGTAGTGCTGGGGAACAGTTGGACTTGATAATCTTAAAGGTCTTTTCCAACCTGATTTTATGAATCTATGTACACACATATAAATGATCAGGAAAAGGGCAGGAACAGTAAGACGAGGATACTGATAATAACTCAAAAACCTATTCAGGATAGCAAGGATGAAAGAAATCAGAAAAATTACACAGAGATTTGAGGAGGTTGAGTAATTGTGTAATAAATTACTAAATTAAATCCCGTGTAGTTAAATGTAGAGTGAGGCACCTGCAAAAAACATGCTTCCTAACCTCACATATAAAACAGTGAGCTCTGAACTGACCAATGCAGCTTGGGAAATTGCTCTTGAGATTATGAAAATGTCACCTTAGTAGCAGTCAGGAAAAACAAAGTGAGAAAGAGCGAAAATAGAAAATGTCATTATGTCACTATATTAATCTTGTCCACACTTTTAGTTCTGTATTCAGGCTGGTCTGCTCATTTCATAAAGGATATAGCAACATTGGAAGAGTTGCAGAGAGAAAGGCTAGAAGAAAAACTAAAGATATGAAAGAGTTTCCATTCAAGGAACAATTGAATTGGATAGTATTCTTCAGTTTGGAAAAGACACATTTTAGGTAGGATACAATAGATTTGCAAAATCACCAGGGACGGGAGAGAGTGGATGGGAATCAATTGTTCGCTCTCTTCTCCAAGACAAGACCTACAGACTATTACATAAGTCTAGCAGGGACCAAGCTGAAAGTGGAAAAGAACAGAAAAAGTGGTTCTACACCAAAGAGGTATTAGAAATGTGGGATGCCTTAGGAGAGGTGTATTTGGCTGCTTAAGGCTTACACAGGTTTAAGGAAACACAGGTTGCCCAAGGAAGTTGAGAATGCCCCATCCCTGGCAGTGTTCCAGGCCAGGTGGATGGGACTTTGAGCTACCTGGTCTAGTGGAAGGGGTCCCTGCCCATGGCAGGGCATTGGAACTGGTTGGTCTTAAGGTCCTTTCGAACCCAAACCATTCTGTGATTCTATGAAACACCAGATAAATATTGGAAAATAAATCTATCAAAAATTACCCACCACATTCAAAAGCATGTCTAGTTTGGGAGAAGCCTTGAGCTCAAAAAAACTGCAGACTGATAGAGAAGGTGGAAAAAAGTCTCTCATATTCTTGACCTGTTCTTCTTCTTCCCCATCCTTGTCTGATTTTAGCCATTGTTGGAAAAATTATACTGACCAGACAGAGCTTTCATCTGGTCCAGGATGGCCATTCTTATCTTCTTATTTTTGGATAGGTAGAACTTTGTATCTAATCTCAGTGATATTGCAGTAAATTTGTACTTTTTTTTTACTAAATCTGGTAAAATGGCCAATTTTGAAAGAAGTATCATAACCATTTCTTGATGGAGTTTTCCTTTGCATGACTGAAGCCAAGAGTAGTGCTTTTTCTCTACTGGCATCCAGAGCTGTAGTCCCTTGAAACACAAAGAATAGGGAACTTTTTGTTGGAGATTTTCTGCTGGGGCACACACTGGGAGGTGCTCAGATTTTTCACTGTAGTATTCTAAGGTTCCCCTCTCTGACTCATGAGACCATGGTTTATTGGAGCCTCTAACCCATAGGAATGACATGATTAATGGCTTTGATAATATTTAAAGCTCAAGTGCAGCTTCAAAGTTCAGCACCTTAAAAATTCTCTGCTAAAGCAAAGAGAGGGGTGCAGCTGTAGGTAAGAGTGCATTTTTTAATGTCAAATTTGAGGAATAATGTGTAGCTGTACAAAAGAAGTATGTAATTGCATCTTCATATTATAGACAGTTTTTCTACAGGTGCCTCCTTAAACGAGTAGCCTTCCAGATGCTGGCACAGGGCCATTCGGGCTTCTTTAAGGGCTGAAATAGTGAATCTCTTAGTTCAGAGATTTATGTTCAGGTATGGCTAAGTTTTCATTGCCTAGTTGTAAACCCTTTACTTGAGGATCACATTATGAAGCACATCAGTTACTAACAGCACTTCCATAAACCAGGAGAGTTTGGGTAAAGATACAGGTTAATTGAGATGGTGGTACCTGGTTTTTGTTCTTTTCCTGCTGTGCTAGGTGGGATCAAAGGACATCAAACCTCTGTTGACTCTTTTTTTCCTTTTGTTGGTCAGAACTGGTGTCAGTCACTTTAATTTTATCCTAGAATTGAATATGTTAATGATGAATGTGTTTATATTCTTATTTGTTTCATTAGGTTACAAGAGGATTACTGTCAAGATAGGTACTTTTCTCACAGGAATTGGATAAATTATAACAAAAATTGTAGGCCTCAACAATAGGAAATACTTAGGAGACTGCTTAAAGACAAGCTCATTTCTGTTTTCCTCACATGCTTGGGATCTAGCAGTCTCCTACCCACCCTTCCTGCAAAGAGTGGTAAGGAATCACTGAATCATTTTTTTCTTCTTTTTTTTTTTTTGTGTAATTTTCTTCTTTCTTTTGCAGCATTAAAGCTGGGTCCAGAAGCATTCAAATTTGATGGTGGCGTAGAGGCAGTGGCTGTGCGGCAGAATGAGAAGTATTACATCCTAAGACCAGAGGTGATTGAGACCTACTGGTATATGTGGAGGTTTACGCACGATCCCAAGTACAGGCAGTGGGGCTGGGAGGCAACACAGGTAACTATTTTAATTATCTGTCCATAATTTAATTCCGTGTATTTTTCTTCTGTAGCCACTTTAATCTCATGGTACTGAAATGCTTCAAATGGTATTCAAATGGATTTTCACAAGTTCCCATAAACCAGGATACATATGGGGGTGTGCACAGTTATTCCTGTTTTGCAATTGCTGAATCAGATGCACAGATGAGAGATGCATTCAGCATTATACAGCTGATGAGTTTTAGGCGTGGAAATAGAATCCACTGGTTATGACTTCTACTGTTATCTGTAGTCCACAGGACCCTGAGAGAAATAATTCATTTTGGGAAATGAAAGTGTATTATAAATAACTTTGCTAATCATGTGTTCTCACTCGGTTTAAGATTAAAAGGTAGGCTATTCTTACATTTTCTTCTTTGTCAGCTACCACAAAAGTGGTAGGACAACTGTTCTCAGATGGTTTGTAGACTAGATAGCATGTACATACGTATATGTGGGTTGGTATCATGGCTTTTTCTTTTCTTAGTTGTCTGACTGGAAGGAAAGAAAAATTGCCAGTCATTTTAGATTTACTTAATTATAACAAAAATTACAGCATTATAAGAAGTAGATCATAAAAGAAAGTCAGTAAGTAATGGCACATAAGGCAGAACTTAAAAATTATTGCTAAGGTACTTTAGAGATTGTTTTTTATCTGATTTCCCAGGTTTAAATCTGGTTGTTGAATGTTTTAGTCAAATTCCCAAGTGTGAAAATTTTTCTGAGTCTTTCTCATTGGAAATGCTAGTACTGATCTGCAGAAGCCTAGATTCATTGTTAGACACAGATCTGTGCTCATAGCCTTCCTACATTCATCCCTTGTACTTAGATAACTCCATCTGCTACTAACCGGTTATGTGCTATATGAATAACTAGGCAGCATTTTCACATGTCAATATAATATTCTAATTGCAAAAATTATTTGTAATCCTCAAAAGACTTTGCCTTTTAAATGCTTCTTAGGGCTCAACTTGTGAGCCTGTTTGGTCTCATCTTTCTCACTGCTTCCACCTGCTGGTCTGTGCTGGGCTTTTGTAAAACTGCTCTGCTGTACAAGCAGTTTTCTGGCCATCTTCAAGATCTGTGGATTACTACAGCTCCTCCACTTACCTGCTACAGCTCCAGCTGCCTGTGGAAACACAGATCAAAGCTGGTTTCAGAGATGAGAATAAACATTAAAGACATAAAGACACTAATAAAATATTTTGACTACAGCCAAAGGCCATGAGGGAAGAGCAAAGGAAGAGATGAACCAAGCACCTGGAGAAACTTTATTCTCCAGGTTAAAACCAGCTTTGCTTCAGAGGCAAGCGACACAAAAACAGTACTGTGAGGAAGAGTCTGTTGAGAAGCCTGTATTCTTCAGGTGAAAGATAGTTAAAGAATCAAGAGTATTTAGCTGAGCTCATCCCTGTCCTTCCCTCAGTGCAGTTACAATCACATAGAGAGTTCAAGTATTTTAACATTTAACCCTACTCTGGGTTAGGACACAGCATTATGTTACTCTGGAGAGAGGTTCAACATTTGTCACATTTGTATTAGAGAATGCATTGCCTCTCTCTCTCCAAAGCATCAAACATGGAATCAGATTGACCCTCCTGCCTAAACTATGCATATTTCTAATATGACAAACAAACAGATCTAGTAACCTGTTCCTTGCCAGTGTGGGTACTACAGAGGCTTGCTGATGTAGCACCAGCTCCTGTCAGAAGCTATGACTGGATGATCCAAGCAGAGATTGGGTCCTTTATACTACATTAAAGCATTTACAAATGTAATTTTTTCAGGCCAGTATCTGTCTCTTAAGGACACTGGAAAGCATGTCTTTAAATTGTATTTTGTTCACTTTTCTCCATTTGCCTTCATGTTTGCAAACCAAACCCTCCCTCCCTCCTCCCCGGCCTGCAGTTTTCTCTGTGTGCAGGGTACGATTTTGTTTTATCCTTCTGTCAAGCTGTATTGAAGTTGTGTAGAGCAAGCAACCCATGTGCTGAACTACCTCTGTCCTTACAGAGGACGTTTTCTTATGTGCTTCCTCAATAAAAAGTTTCTTTATCCAACATAGCCATAAAATATTTTTGAACTCTTCAGAAATGGTTTTGCCTACCCCTCCCTCCCACAATTACAGAGTTTCTTAACCCACCATCATCCTAACACAGAAGCTTGGGAAGCTTTTTGTTCCCCAGGGTTTTCTGTTCCCTGCATTTAGATAAGCTCTTGTGTTTACTCCTCACACCTACTCACCACTTTTCCTTTTTCCCTACCACACAGAGCTCTGGTTGTGTTTATTCCTCCTTTTATAAATAGAGAAGAATCTGGTATGCCACACAGAACAGTTGGGTTGCTGCTCTTGTACAACACTGCTTTCCTTTTGCCTTTCAACCTCTGAAGCATACTTTGAAATCTGTATTACAGACTTCTCATGGTGAATGATAGTTTCTTAATCAGAAGTCTGGTTGTTCATTTAAACTCTTGTGGAAACTGAGTTTTGTTTCTTATTTTTCTACACTGGATATGGTCTAACTTGGTGCCTCATGCCTGAGTTCTTGGTGGTGTCCCTTGCTTGCTTCTTTGAATGGACGAATACATCCCCAACCAGATGGATTTGGGTTAACTCACTGATATGTTAGAGGTCAGCTGCTGTCAGTTTAAGAACTCTTAAAGATGATCCAGGATACATTGCAGAACCACCTGGCTTTTAAGTATACTGCACGACTGAAGTTTCTTTAGCATTCCCAGCCCAGAGCTCTCTCTGCCTCTTACCAATGGGGATTTGCACAGAGGGCTGGCTTGTGTGTGTATGCAGATCTTTGTACTGTACTTGTTTTATCTCTTTCACCATTGGCAGCTTCTTTTTGGCTTTATTATCTAGATTTTTGGACAAAACTTGAGCACTTTAGTACAGATGTGCTTCGACCAAGGCCTGTTTTGTCACATCACTCCAAATCCAGTGTTCATGGGGAAAAAACAGAAAATTGAATCTTATATTTCCTCAATCAAGGGAATCGAGACTCTCCCCTTCCAAAAAAAAAGGGCTAATTCTCCCTAATACTATGCTTAGCTAGAGACAATATTACTATACTAGAGACAACATCCATCTTATATTGGGCCAGCCAAATCGGATAAGGGTATGCTGGGGGGCTGGCTAAAGTATTACAGAAATATGCATGCAAGATATTCAGGTTAAATACAGAAAATTACTAAAATCGTTTTTAGGCTAATTATTTGAAACCAGTAAGAGCCACCACTTCACAATAGGCATGTAAAGCCAATTACTAATCTAAGCAGTGTGAATGAAGGGTTCAACTATTTGTTGGAGACTTGCATGCCTCCCTAAGTAGGGTTGCACCATGGAGGCTATGGAGTTCATGCAGAGTTTCTACTTCCAGTGAAAATAATATAGAAGATCTCAAGTTCAGGCTAACTTCAGGCAAATTGGAGATTAACAGTAAAATGGAGCGGAAAGACCTGTAGCTCTCCACTTAGTGAAGCCAAGAAAACAGAAAAGAGACAGGCATAGGTTGGAGGTGAAAGAAACACAGGTTCACAGTTCACGGGTTGGAAGCTGTGAGTACCACAGCTGCTGCGAAGGTGGCACAGTTTTTATGAGCATAGTGTTGGCATAGTCAAGAACCACACATGCAACCACAAAAACACCCTCAGAGGAGCTGAGGGAGCTGGGGTCTGATCTAGAGGTACTTCCTATTTTATTTCTAAAGAACATAGGTCAACTGGCCTCCCTGTATGTCGTAGGCCCTGAAATGTCACTTCATGTTATTTTTGAGCCAAGATACATGTATTTGGCAAGAGTACACTATCGCATATTCTGTTCTACTCTTGGGTTGAATAAAGGGAACTAGAAAATCCACTTCTTTTCATAGTTGGTTCCATTATTTAATTAATTTGCTTATTATTATATATTATTTAATTGATGTTAAAAATACATGCTTTATTTCCCACTTGAATTTGTCTAGTTTCAGCTGTCAATCACTGGATTTTCCTGTGACTTCCTATCCATATTAAAGTGTCTTCTATTCCCCCATGTTTTCTTTCCAAAGAGTTTTCATAGATTGTAATAAGCTTACTACTGAGTCTAATTAAGATGGTAAACAAATTGTATTGTCGCTCACTGTGAAGCATTTTCTCCTCATGTCTGCACCCACGTCAGCTCATCATCCTTGCATAAAAATGAGTTCTAGGATTTCATATTCCGGTTTTGACTTTAGCCACAGCCTTGTGCAAAAGTCAAATGATACCCCTGCTCCTGTTTACTGTCCCTGTGTGTGCACCTGCCACAATATCCTAGCAGGAACTCAGACTGAATTGTCTCATGTGGCCACTGAATTCTTTGAAGTGTCTCTGTGTCTCGACTTTCCAGGCTAATCTGGTTCTAAATCTGGACAGCCTTTCTGTCTAGATTTAGGGATATGTGCCTGGTTATATGAAACTCACTCAGTTTGGGCCCCAGTTGCTAAATACAAATTACACTGTCTGCTATTATTTATCTATGTCATTTTTCCCAGCAGTAGTGTTGGAGTGGTTGATAAAACTTCAGACCTCTCCTCGTGGATCTCTGTGAGAAGCAGCTCTGTTTGGTGATGATTTTACATTGACAGTGTGTTCTTAAAGCACTGTCAGTCAGTTTTAAATTAAGATAGTGATATTGCTATGGTATAGTGCTGCTCTGTCTTAAGGTCTTTTGGTACCTTGTCAATTGCTTTAAAAACTTGTCAAGTTTATTACGGCTCTGCAGTTCCCTTTATCTGTCAATCTGTAGACCTCAAAGGATGAGAGCAAGCCTGTGAAAGGGATAGTTTCCTGTAAAATTGTGCTGAATGGTGTCAATTATACTCTTATTCTTTTATAGTTTTTACATGTGTTTCCATAGTTGTTTGGAACTAACATCAGGTCTGCTATGCTAAAATTATTCAGCCTGCCAATGCCACGTAATAGTAGCATTACCTTGATACCCTTCCAGTCATCTAGGACTTCTCTGTATTCTAGGGTACAGTAAATTTAGCATCATTTTATCAAGGAGAGTTCTCTTCAGCTCTTGAGTGGAAGAGCATCTAGGTGGCAAATCAGGTGCCTCTACCTCAAGTACTTTGAGATCTGTGTGAAGGCAGAACACTGCAAATTTCAACTGCTTTTTAAGTAGCTTGTCTACGGCACCAAGCTTTTCAGCCAGTGTCCTGACGTACTGTACACCTCTGAATCAAGGACAGTTTGCTTATTCATTTTTAAAGCAACACCTGTATAGCAACCTTTCAGAGAATATTTCCTCTATGGTGCATTACTACTACCTGCAATGTCTACATCTCTGATAAACTAGGATAAATCTTCAACCTATCCTGAACTCCAGTCGAGCCAGAGGCTGTCTCCCCAAAGAGAAATTTCTGAAGATACAAGACTACTTGGTAATTGTAAGGGGGTAAGGGGGGTGGCAATCAATATAAATCACACATTTCCTTTCTTCAGATTCCTAGCCTGCTAGCTTCACCAGTCTTGCACTTTGTTATCCAAGTATGAGACCACTACAGCACAGAGCGAGATCTCAGAGCTATCTGTTACCTACAGTCTCCAGAATAAACAAATTGTGTTTCTTACACTCACTTCGGGGTATAATTCTTGAGGAGGAAGGAGACAGTGTCCTAACAAGGAAACCACTTCTTCCTTCTTTAATTTTGCCGTCATCACTGCAAGTTTCTCCTGTCTGAGCTGTGGCACGCAGTGTTAAGGTTGCCAAGTCACTGACCAGAGGAGCACCTTCAAGGTCAGACAATGCATGCTAGAAATTCTGGCAGGATTATAACCATTGGAGCTTCCCCCCCATCTTGGCATGCTCAGGGCAGAGACAAGGTTATGTTCTTCAGTATTATAAACAAGGGGATAGTGACAAGAGGAGGCCTTAATTTCCTGCCTAGAAAGCAAAAGCACTTTGGCTCTTGTTTATTCACGTAACAATTGCCTAGCAGCAGTGGAACTTGTGGGGAGGAACACGCAAATGGTTCCACAAGCAGCATATGCATTAGTTCTGCAGAAGTCAGCCAAGCAATTACATTTTTCCTTTTCCTTTCTTTTTTTTTTTTATCGCTTGTTTGCTGCCATGGGATATCCAGCATCACTTGTGCCGTGCTCGAGCGTGCAGCCAAAGAGATTGTCATGCATGTGATGCTGTTGGGCTAGGTGTGTCGCATACACCTTTCCAGACTGTAGAGAAAAACCTGGTCAAACCAAATCCCAGCATGTGAATTGTGTCAGTGTAGCCCTGGACTGCACCGGTAACCACATCTGAAAAAAATTCGTCAGACACTTTTTCCTTTCAGGCTCAAGTCACAACAAAAAGAGAGCATTGCCATCTGAACTTGGAGAAAGCTCCACTGGAGATAAGGAATCACAGTGAGGATTCCATCTTGCCAAGGAAGACTATACCTTTCTTGGCATAAGCTCAGGCTCTAGAGCAACAGCCATTCCAGTAACATTCCTTTTGCCAGTCTCTCCTCTTGCTTCCTTTTGAGGAAGATTTTTAAATCTTCAGAAATTTGAAAGAACTCTGTACAGTCTGGATTATTCTTTGGTCTGTGAACAACCTCACATTTCCACAGGGTAAGAGTGCATACTAGCAGGAGGTTAGCTGTAGTACCTGATGTGCTGTTACTCACTGTCCTAGGTACCTTCCTCAGTTGCCTTTACACTTTTCCTCCTGATCTCAGTAATGGCATGTGTCAGCATTCTTTGTGTCTGTATTCAATAGAAAATTCTCCTTTGTTTCCCAGTGTTTCTAGTATGCAGAGGCTATAGTAGAGACCTTCAAGAGTTAAGTTCAATTGAATTTGTTTTCTCTGCCTAAAAGGGGACATCACTCAAAACTTATTTGCTCCCCTGCCTTGATTCCCCTCAGCTTCTGTTGAGTATAACTGGAAAAAAACAGAATTAATGAAAATCTAGGCCTAAAGCACCATGCAGAGAAAAACTTCATACAGGCTAACAGGCTGAATCACAGATAGCTGAACTACATGTAGCTGTGTTCAGTAGTTGGTAATGACAGACATCCTGAACCAAATATTTTCCTTTATCACTGTGCCTTTTCTGTCCCTGCATGAATCTATTAAAAGAGTTGGTGTCTGCTGAGGAAGCACTGCCAAAGCAGCAGGGAAGCACAAATAACCTGTGAATCATTTCAGAGTTGTTTCTTTGGAGCTGGTTTTAATGGCTGATATCCTTGTGTGCTGTAAGGTCGCGCATGTGAGTGGAATAATGAAAGCGTAGGCAAGAGGTCCTCTGAGCTACTAACGCCTTCTTTCCAGTCTCCACCTCTTCCATCGTGCTTTTTGCAGTACTGTGTTAGAGCTGACTAGCTGGGTGATTTGTGAATCATGGGTCCATTGGCCTCTTTCTGCATGGAATATTTATGGATTTAAACTTTATGCTTTAAAGATTAAAGAGTTCTCCTGCAGTCCAGCACACAAGCTGACTAGAGTTTCTACCGTATAAAGGGGAACCGGAGAAGAGCACATGTCAGAGGTGGAAATGTGGGGAGAAAACATCAGCTGGAAGAGTTTATAAGATGAGATCAACAGTCGCTAAAGATGAGTACAGTTGGTGACAGACAACATGGCTTCACTAAGGGCAAATCATTCCTGGCCAATTTAGTGACCTTCTACAATGGGGCTACAGAACTGATGGATAGGGGCAAAGCAGCTGATGTCATCTACCTGGACTTGTGCAAAGCGTTTGACACTGTCCCGCACAACATCCTTGTCTCTAAACTGGAGAGACGTGAATTTGATGGATGGACTACTCGGTGGATAAAGGATTGGCTGGGTGGCCACATGGAGAGTGTTGCGGTCAATGGCTCAATGTCCAGCTGGAGACTGGTAACAAGTGGTGTCCCTCAGGGATCGATGTTGGGACCTGTGTTGTTCAATATCTTTGTCAGTGACATGGAGAGTGGGATTGATGCACCCTCAGCAAGTTTGTGATGACACCAAGCTGTGTGGCTCGGTTGATATGCTGGAGGGAAGGAATGGGAGCCAGGAGGACCTTGACACTCTAGAGAGGTGGGCCAATGCCAACCTTATGAAGTTTAACCAAGCCAAGTGCAAGGTCCTACACCTGGGTCATGGCAATCCCAGGCACAGCTACAGGTTGGGCGGAGAAGAGATTCAGAACACTCCTGAGGAGAAGGACTTAGGGATGTTGGTTGATGAGAAACTGAACATGAGCTGGCTTGAGTGTGCGCTTGAGCCCAGAAACCAACTGTGTGCTGGGCTGCATCAAAAACAGTGTGACCAGCAGCTCAAAGGAGGTGGTCCTGCCCCTCTACTCTGTTTTCATGAGACCCCACTTGGAGCATTGTGTGCAGTTCTGGTGTCATCAACATAAGAAGGACACGGAGTTGTTGGAGCAAGTCCAGAGAAGGCCACAAGGATGATCAGGAGCTGGATCATCTCCTGTATGGAGACAGGCTGAGAAAGTTGGGGCTGTTCAGCCTGGAGAAGAGAAGCTGTGTAGAGACCTCAGAGCAGCCTTCTGGTATCTGAAGGGGGCCTACAAGGATGCTGGAGGGGCACTCTTCATCAGAGACTGTAGCAATAGGACAAGTGGTGATAGGTTCAAACTGAAATAGGGGAAGTTCAAGTTAGATATAAGGAAAAAGTTCTTTACTGCGAGGGTGGTGAGGCACTGGAACAGATTGCCCAAAGAAGTGGTAAATGCTCCATCCCTGACAGCATTCAAGGCCAGGTTGGATGAGGCCTTGAGCAACCTGGTCTAGTGTGAGGTGTCCCTGCCTGTGGCAGGGGGGCTGGAACTACGTGATCTTTAAGGTCCCTTGCAGCGCAAACCATTTTATGGTTCTATGATTTACTGCCGTGAGACCTCACTTGGAGTATTGTGTACAGTTCTGGTGTCCTCAACATCAAAAGGACATGGAGTTGTTGGAGCAAGTCCAGAGAAGGCCACAAGGATGATCAGGAGCTGGAGCACCTCCCTTCTGAAGACAGGCTGAGAAAGTTGGGGCTGTTCAGCCTGGAGAAGAGAAGCTGTGTAGAGACCTCAGAGCAGCCTTCTGGTATCTGAAGGGGGCCTACAAGGATGCTGGAGGGGCACTCTTCATCAGAGACTGTAGCAATAGGACAAGTGGTGATAGGTTCAAACTGAAATAGGGGAAGTTCAAGTTAGATATAAGGAAAAAGTTCTTTACTGCGAGGGTGGTGAGGCACTGGAACAGATTGCCCAAAGAAGTGGTAAATGCTCCATCCCTGACAGCATTCAAGGCCAGGTTGGATGGGGCTTGGAGTAAACTGGTCTAGTGGCAAACTATTCTGTGATTTTATGATTCTATGATTTTATTCCTAATTGCAGTAAACCACTATAACTAGCTACTAGTCACAGAATTCTTGTAACTCTTCAAACTCTTCCAGCTGCAAAATCCAGAGATGTTTGGCATCTTCCTATACACCTCTTTGCATGTGTTGCATTGATTGACAGATGTATGTTCTACTCAGTGTTACCTGTGAGGACCCACACTAGCTCAGAGCAAAAGTCTGCTGAGTCCATGTCCTGTCATCCATACCAGTCAATAGTAAATACCCAGGAAAGAAACTATCCTTCCCCAGAATACTTTCTTAGCATCTAGCACTTTGCCAAATGTGGTGTCATTAGTAGCCCTGGAGGGATTTTACTTCTCTATGTGTTGAGTCCCTTTCTATTTTTTTTTTGGTCAAAGTAAAGTGTTAACATCCACAGCATCCTCTGACAAGGAGGTTCACAACAGAATAATGCAGCGTGGAAAAAGCTGCTTCCTTTGTTGATCGAGCCTGAGCCTTTCATGAGTTTCCAGATTTTGCTCTACAATTAAATTCTCCTTTTCCCTTCCTGTTTGCAGGCAATTGACAAGTATTGCCGAGTCAGCGGTGGCTTTTCTGGTGTCAAGGATGTCTATTCCTCATCTCCTACATATGACGATGTACAGCAGAGCTTTTTCCTTGCTGAAACTTTGAAGTAAGTTCTCTTCACTCTTGCCTCTGACTTTAAAAGCTAGCCACATGATTTGAGAAGAATGTGGTGGCTCAACAAATGATCTCTTGTCTTGTCAGGGTGTTTTATGGGTTGGGCTTTCTTTTTTTCCCAGTTTTAGGGTCCCAGATAGCCCTTCTACCAGCAGAAAATACAAGTGGAATTTCCCAAACAAGACACTTACAGTGGGAGAGCTTTAGTTTTAAAGACAGGTACACTGACTTGACATGTCACATACAAGTATGTGCCATGCTCTGATCTTGTAGAACACGTTTCTCCTCTGTGTGTCACTGGAAAGGAGTAAATGCACAGAACAAAAGTCCTTCATGCCCTTGGATGACTGTGTTTATCCCATAACACATTTTTCTAGAATGTTTTTTAGTGTCAGCAAGAGTTTCAGGCCTATTTTATAATCTCTTACATACTTACATATTTTTCAATTCAATCAAATCAATAGGACACCTGTAGTCCACCCTGCATAAGCTAAATGCACTCTATTGCATATTTGGTTCAAGGTAAGATGTTCAAAGTCATTGGTCTTCCGCGACGTTTCTTTTAATAACAAGAAGTGCTGTCATAACCTCTGACTTACAGAGATGATACAGACTGTAAGAAAAGCTAGCATAGATAGGCATATGTTATGGGGATTTTATTAAACCTGAGCTAGCATGTCATGGGTACTCATCTCCTCCATCTCTAACAAAAACCAGCAATCAAGAGCACTCTTGTCACATGGTTGTGATCGCTCTGGTGTTTTGCCTGTAAAGCAATGACTTCTAATGTGTGACAATTTTCCCCACACCCAAGTTATATCAGTACATTTAGTTATATAGTTCTGGCATTGAAATCTGCCAGGATTCCTGTATTACCTCCCAGAAATCCTGTGACTGGTCTACTTCTGGAAGAAAAGTGTCTGAGATTGCTATATTCCCTACCCTTCATTTTTTTCCTTCTGCATAACAGCTAGGAGAATGTTTTAACTGGGTAAATCCATAGGCAGAAGCCACTGCTGGCAGTGTGATTGAGGCCAGAGCTGCTATTAGGAGTTGTTGCCTCTGCTTACCTATCTATATCACTTTATGCCAACGTGTGATGGAAGGCATGATACATCCCTTTGTCAGCAACAAAGATGCATTAAGGTGCCCTTTCTGTCTTTACAATACAGTTATATGACAAAGAAACAGTTGTAACCACTTCGCGGTCTAGTGCATCATGCAGGCTTGCAGAATAAACAGGGTTTCCATACAGAGTTTACAGTATTGGCAGTCTTAAATGTTCCTGTTTTAGCTGTAGCTGATGTACATGAAGATTGATTTTGGGTATTGGGAGCTCAAAATGCAGCAGGGAGAAAGCAAGTCCTGAAAGCAGCAGTACTGGTATCTGCTTCAGGCAACCATAATGCGTTTCACTGGCAAGAAGGGACTCTGAGTTCGTCACATATAAAGGAAGAGTCTGGCTATTCTGTTCTTCCATCTCCTTACCGAATTCCTCTCCATGGTCAGAATCCTTTGTTACCCCATGTTATCGTTATAAAAAGAAAGCCACTGCTACTTCCTTTGTTGTCTTCTTTAATTCTATTTCACTTACTCTTTCAAGTTCATCTTCTGGAGGCGAAAAGCTGTACTCCCACAGAGAGAGGCAGCAGTTTCAAATGGGTCCAGTCAGAGAAGCAATACCTCCTCGGGAGCTGATCTGATGTGATAGATCTGCCAAAAAAAGTTAAATTGGAGAATGAAATCTCCTCCTAAGGGACTTCTGTGGTGACAAGGCTGACCTTTGAAGTATCACCAGAATCCTGTCTGCATCTTAAATAATCACAAGGAGATCTGAAAGTTCACTGATACATCACTCAGATGTATTGTAGTGAAAGCATTGTAGAAAAAGACAGTTCTAGGGAAGAACTCAGAATTTTTTATTGACTTTTGGTTTGGATCATTTCCTACTTGTGGAACAAAACAAAGTTTTATCAGAGAGCTGGGTATTAGATGTTTGATGTTCATGCAATTGGCATAGCCAAACCAAAAACTGATATCACCTTGAGATAAAATAGAGAACATAAGGTCAGGATAGTTCAGATGGCTATGAAAATAAAGATAGAAGGGTTGGGTGTGATGCCATAAGGAAAATGAAAATGTCCCTCAGAAGAGGGCATAAAATGTCTGTTGTGGAATGCCTAGTGTGATCTTTTCTGCTGTGGTAAATTCTGCATCTTCATTTCCCTCAAATTCCAAATTGATACCTCTCCCAAACATGCTCTGTTGGTGCTTGGATACTTTGGCTCATCATAAATACTTGGCAAATGGTGAGAATTTGGGCAGTAGGAGTGGCAAGAAGGTAGTTATTGAGTGGGAAGGAGCAAGACATAGAAATAGGTTGCTAAGTTATTCAAAGGAAAAGTGTGAATCAAGCTAGGAAGGTGAATTTGAATAAGGTGAAACATTGCTGCTGTGGTGAGAAAGAGTTTGGAGAGCTGCAGAGGGAGAAAGCAAGGTAGGAGTAAGGAGGAAAGAAAAGGAATGAGGCTTTAAAGACAAATGAAAAATGTAGAGAAATAGACTAGACATGCCGGACAAAACTGAATCATCTCAACTAGAAATTTTCATCTCTAAGCAGTTAAGTGGGGAGGAAGGAAAGGAGAAGAAGCGCTTCACTCACTGGGTTGTTCTGCGGATACAACTGGTAAATAAAGGCCACAGGAGAATGATCAAGAAGTGACACATGACTGCAGACAGTAGACACTATGAGTGCCTGACTGAGAGAGAGCAAAGTAAGAGCATCCTCAGCAGAGCAAGGGCAGAACCACGTGTGTGCATATTCTGAACGTGACAGAGCTCACTAATGGGAATGACACCCTTTCCTGGTCACATGCTGCAAGACCTGTCATTTTCTGGATGGCAGGAAAGCAAGCTACAGTGGGAGCTGAGAAATCCTGTGCACCCATGGTCTTACACTTGCACAGTCAGGTTTTCTGCAACAGGACAAATAAATGCCTTTTGAAATCTAGCAGTTGAGTTTGGAAGCCTTGACAAAGATCCCTTCCACCAGTATCTTCTACGAAGTATGGCACAGCCACATCAAAAGGGTGTATTAAGAAAAAAGAACCAAGAAATGCTCTTCATCCATGTATATCCAGAAACCTTAATCTTGTTCCGTGCTTCATTTACTCTGCATTGCTTTATAATGTACATTTATGAATCCCCTCTGCACAATATATTGGCCCATTTCCTCCCACCAGAAGCTGAACCAGCTTCCATCGTGGCATTGACAAGTCACATACCTGGCTTCTCTTGTGCTTCCTTGAAATCTTTGATTTGGAAGAAATCATTTCCAAGTGGGTTTACTCTATTAAGAAGACTTTTTCATCAGCTTAATCTCCGCTCCCCTGTCCCCCAGATCCTTGTGCTTGGTGTCCTGATGTGTGTTTTACATTGCAAGCCTTCAGTAGGAGTCTTGACAAATAGAAGTTACTTGGAAAGATTAAAATGCTGCCTTTATAACAACTTTTCATTGAAGGGCTTGATCACAATAAAAATGACTCTTCAGATTGTTACAATGGGGAACGTTGTGTAGGTGTTATACAAAGATTGAAAGCAAGTAACTTGTTTATAGCTTTAGCTGCTGACTGGTGGGGCCTGAAGCTGCTGTGTTGCTGTTGCCCCTGCTTTTCTATTGCTCTGCTTTAATACCCACCATTTTTCCTTTCTCTCCTAATATCTAGGTATTTGTATCTGCTGTTCTCCAATGATGACCTTCTACCATTAGACAACTGGGTTTTTAACACAGAAGCTCATCCTCTGCCTGTTTTACATTTAGCCAACACCACACTATCAGGAAACCCTGCATATCGATAAAAACAGCTCTGTGAAGAGGAAGAGAGACTGTTTTCAGCTCTGTTTTGTTTACATGGACCACTTGAGACTTTTAAGCAGGAGAGGAGACAGACGCTTGATAAAACTAGACCTCTTGAGTCAAGCACGTACTGGTGTGAGAAATGAAGCTCTTCAACATATAGATAAGTTAAAAGTTCTGTTTTATACATGACCAAAACACATTAGTGTGGTATTTGCAGGACAGAGACTTCATGCGCTTTGAACCTTAGCAAGACATGGAATCTGTTGTTTAATAGAAGCACAGCAGCATAAGGAAGAAGAGGCTTTCCCGTCCATGGAGAGGAACTTGCTGCTGCTGCTGTTCTGAACAAGGAACACACACGAGTCACCTCTTCAGATGAGGTGACTTCCAAATACCTAGATTTTCTTTTTTATTTTTTTATTTGTTTGAGGATGGCATGAACAAAGCAACAACAAAAGCAACATCACTGCACCAGCAGCAGCAGGATTTGAATTGCTTTCTGTACCTCTCTGAATTTCCTAAGGAGCATCTGTTTGTCCAGACTGGCAGCCATTCTCAGGGCCTCTAAGCTATTAAAACTAACATTTAAACTGTAAAAACTATTGCCTCCTCATTTTCCCCTTTTCAAAATAATGCTGAAAGATCTGTGTTGTATGCTTACATCCAAAAAAAACCCATTTAGTAAGCATTTGGTTTGTAGCTCACTGTCAACAACATGGGCTTCGTTTGTTTGGCAAGCTACAGTCAGAATCTGGAGCAAATCACAGGGGTAGGAAGGAACCTGAGTTTCCCTTCCTCACAAATCATGTCACATGTTAAAAACCATTCTCCTATTAGTCCTGTTCTTTTAGCTAAAAGAACTATCATGATTTCTGTAGGTGGCTACAATAGATGGCACTTAAAAATGCTCTCTCCCCTTGAGTTAAGCAGCAGGAGTTTGTTGCTTTATATTTTTCTAAACAATCTAGATTTTTCCTAAAAGTTAAATTTCATTAGTTGGGTACTATTGACAGAACCTTCTTTGCAGGTTTGTGTATGACAGAAGCCCAAAGCTGACTTCAATTTAATTTACAAAAATCCTTTTCTTCTTGATGCTCCAGTACCAAGTCAACGTGATCTTCTTTGCAAACATCTCTGACATAGGACTGGAAAAAGAAATTGAAATCTCTTTTTCCATTAGTTTGTGAGAAATGAGATGCTGTTACCTGCATGGGGTTTTTTTCCAAGGGCTCCTGGGCTGGCCTGTGCATCACTTACATGGAGTCTGCTTCAGTCTTCACTTAGTTGCTAAAAGAAATTTTAGTCTTTTCAGGTATCTCAATCTCTCTCTTTTTTTTTTTTTCTTTTTAACTGTTTTTCCAGAATCCTTACAGCTCAAATTATTCTTTCTATTTCCCTTTATAGCACTCAAATCCTTTTGCCACGATGACTGACCGCTTTGCTGAAAAGGAGCTGTGAGGTGCTCCTTTCCTTCCTATTTAGTGCACAGGTTGAGTCTTTAAAAGATCTTGATTGTGTTTCCATGCTGAGGTGAATGGTAGAACTCTTCAGTGAGCTACAGCAGGACAGCATCAGATAGAAAGGGAGTGAGTGCTATTTGTTCCCTTCAAAAGATGTTTTTATATGAAGTTTTATATAGAAAAGCTTTTCTATCATACCTGACTGTACATTATAGTAGAATGTCCCCCATAAAATTTTCCTTCACTCGTCTCTGACACTAACTTAGACATAGAAATCGTGATCTAAGAAAAAATGCTATCAGATGCTTTTTTTCCAGACAGTTGCTTTAGTTTCAGAGGAGGAAGACACAGACCTTGGAAAAAACTCCAGTCTCCATGTTTTTACCTTAATACCAGTTGCTTAGTTACTCTAAGTTGAAGCAGTAGCTTAAAAATAATTGAAGAACCAAGAAAGGAATTGATTTTATAGTAAATAATACTGAATCAAGTAATTGTTTATCTAAAATCAGAAGTCACCTATTAAATGGATTCTTCTTAGTAGTCTCATATTAACTTAATTTTCTAATTGGTATTCAGTGGCTTACTGAAGAGCTGGTCATTTTCCGTTTCCCAAAGTTCAGATAGGTTGTGTTTTCAAATTGAGTTTTTCCCATCCTATGAGAACTGTTACTAGTTTAAAACTGCACTTGATTTCCTTGTTCTCCTCAACTTCTCCAGGTACAAAGGAGAAAGAGGAAAAGCAGATTCTTCTGTTTAAAAAAAGAAATACCAAAAAAAAGCACTTTCCACTCCATAACACCCATTCCCATACATCTCCCGATGAATGCACATGTAGAATGGCTGCCAGTCTGTTCAGAGGAAGCGCAAAAGACAGAATTCTGGAGTCCCAGAAACAGCAAACTTCTTATTGCTGCTCCTCTAGCCCCCTCTCATAAACTAAAGAGCGACCCTTCAAATTCATTCGTCCAGGAATCTCAGTGGGTTTAACTCAGCGCCACAAGAATGCTTGCATTGAGGACTTAAGCCATTTCATGTTATTGGATGGTATTTTTCTCAGATATACAGCACTGCTGTTTCTTCTTCATGCAGACAAGCAGCAGGTACCAAATAAAGAACAGTTGTTTCCCATTTTGCAGTTACCCCAATGGCTGTCACTTTTTGTTACAATATCTATCACTTTTTAAAACACGAACTACCATTTTCCTCCAGAAGCTACTGATGTGCATAGTCTATCAAAAATAATGAATTTTAAGGACTAATTACTGTGTCATTCATGAATCTCATCCTGAGATTTCCCTAGAGCAAGCTGAGTTTGGAGGTAATGGGTTCTGGGCGATGTGTGTGCATAATAACCAAGCACTATGGATATTGAAGCCTCTGACGTGCCCTTGTCCTGAGTCCTTCACAGAGAAGTAGGTTCTGGTGCACAAAATGGTTTTACAACCCAAAGCTTTGTTTCCCCTCTGGGTACAGAAGGTACAGTAGAATATTGCCATTTCATTCTGTTGCTGCTGTCTTACTTTCATGAAGATAGAGTGTAAATTTAAGCACAAAATGACTTTTTAGTCCTAGTTGTTTCCAAGTCTTGCACTGTATTCTCTAACAAAACAATCCTCCTTTTCTTTAAGTAGCTTTCCCATTTTTCCGATGTCTACAATACCCTCTCCCCTTACAGGATGAAATAACGAACAGAAAATCATGTATGTTTTTGGCACACTGGATTTGGGCAAGAGCCTGGAAATCCCAGAATTGTCTATTTCCTGTTTGCATGCAGTCAAAACAAGGATGTTCAGTTCTTTTCCTAATCCAAGCCTCAAGCTTGCCTGTTGTCAGGATCTGCAGTAAACTTTTTCCTAACACTTACAGCTTGAGTTTTCAAAGAAGCCAGATTTCTGCAGCTTCCACTGACCACCCTGGAGCTGTGTCCCCTGCAGTCAAGAAGTCAGCTTCTTAGCTTTGTCCTCTAAACAAAACCAAAACCCCTGAATATGTGGGGTGTTCATTTTGCTGCACAATGCAGTCCTTAAAAATGGAATGTTCAAGAAAAGTTTGGAAAATACTAAGTACCCTGGAATAAAGGGAAAAAACGGTAGTTCTCTGTGCCAGTCACAGCTCTGAGGCTTCTTTAGCTCCCTACTTCAAATTTGTGGATCACTGTCTTCTACCTCCCAATCACGTATTCCCACCCAGTGTTTTACAAGATTCGAATGTTGAGTGTCTGGGTTCTGAAAAGTGAGAATAATTACACACTCCCTGTAATACCATCCTTTAAGGTTAATGGTCTACCCTATGCTAACTTACATCTAAGCAAAGCCCTGCTGGGCTGTCTTTCATGTCCATGTTTTTAAGGGGAAAATAAGGAACAGGCTTCTTGTTACCAGAGCAATATGAAAGCGAGCTCTTGATCCACACTGTAGATCGGAGATCTGTTCACCCTGATAAGACATCCCTCTTCCACTCCTTGAATGTTGAGAAACAGTCTTCTGACTCTAGAGTTTGAGTTGCCATCCAGAGAGGAAACCCAAGCTCTTTTGCAGGTTGTGTGCATACAAGTGTAGCAGAGATGATAAGCACTAGCTGCTTTGGCTCTCAGCCCCTTCTAACAAACTGCTCTGGAATTGCCCAGGAAAGTTGGGAACCATCAAAGTCAAAAGAGACAGCCTGACTTGTTATGGTGAATTGTTGCCTTTAGTCCTAATCGCTTGGTGGAGGTTGGATTTGAATTCTGCCTTTATTCTTGCTTTGTCTAAAACTTACCAGATTATTTTTCGTCCAAAATAATGAAAGGGCAAAAGTCTACCTTCTGATGTGGAAACCACCTGCCTCTGACCTGGAATCCTGCATATGTACTTTTTACAGATTAAAAATAATATTGTATATAAAAAAAAGATTGAATAAAGAATGTCTTTAAGTGAAAAAGGTGCCTTTGTGTCCTTTGCCTCCAATAGCAACCTCCTGTAGCATTGGGCTGTGAAGCTGACCTGATATCATAGGCTTGGTGGTGCTGCAGCTTTTCTTTCCCCTGCAGCTCTCCTAGGGACTTTGTTAAACATGTATCAAGTCTCCCTATTGCAAAATTAAACCCATGTACCCTGGCTTGCTTTTAACAGGTTGCTGTAGTGCTCATGTTTCTCTCGACAGCAGGTTGAGGTTGTTTCTATGTGCTGTTGTGAAAGCCACCAATTCCCACAAACAAATCTACCCTTTTGTTAAATTTGTGCGTAAGTGGCTAAAAAGTTCAAAGATTCTAAATGGGGCAGGCAGAAAAGATGTTACTAAATGAACTTCATTCTCATAAGACACCGGGTTAAAACTCCAGCTTTTCTTGATACTAAATTGCCCAATAATGAATTTGGCAATTAATTCTGGCCATCCACTTCTCTGCCCTCTGCGAAAAGGAAGAAGTTCATAATTGTTTAATGTTGTTCACAGGGAAATTGCTATGAGGAAATGGCTTTGGATAAGCCTATTTTCCTTCTTGCACCTTTTGCTGCTATAGCTCTCCATTTTGCAGAGCAGCGAGTGAATAACCTGATTTGCTTTCTGATTCGCATTAGCTGTAGATAATGCTTACTGCCTGACATCACCCATACTGCTCACATGCAGTAGCTTGTTTCCGTGCCATGCCACAACTGCCATCCTGTCCTGTTTCAGTGCTTTGTATCTGATCATAGAATCATCTTGGTTGGAAAAGACCTTTAAGCTCATCAAGTCCAACCATTCCCCAGCACTGCCAAGTCCACCACTAACCCATGTCACCAAGGGCCTCATCTGTCACCCTTTTGGTGATGCTCAGACTTCCCAGGGGGCTTCTGCCTCAGGACGCAACAAGCTCCTTCAGAGTTACTTCATAAGAGAAAATCACTTCCGAAGTGCTGTAATTCAGTGCAGGACATAACACCAGGTGCACACCTGCCCTCCTGGTGTGCTATCCATCTCCAGATCCAGTTACGCCTTCAGCTTTCCACACAAGCGTTGCGTGTTCCTGATGCACCCCGTGTCCTACCACCGTGCCACTGGCAATGCAGCGTCTTTTGCATCCGTTGATCTTCCCGTGGTGTGCTCAGCCCTTAAGCCACCTGCTGAAATTCACTTCTTGTAGCAAAGCATGTGTCTATGTAGCAATGCTGTGTCTATCAGTGACATTCTGTTTCAGCCACTGAGCCCTAATGCACAAAACCTCGCCTCCTGGTCTAGTACTACCAAGTGCTCTCTCTTTCTGTATAACATTTTGACCAATGCCGAAGGCTGTCCTCACTGTTCTTCAAATGGGATCCTGTCCTTTGTGGTTGCACTGCATTGTCTCTGCCTCTTTCAACAGTTAAGTAAGTGCTTCATCCCTCTACTTCTGCCTCTTCTGAAACACACCTTTTTTGCATGTCCTCTATCCAAGGATACGTAGAGAATATCCTCAAATATCCTCTTTTATTTCTCCTTTGGCACTCTGTCTACATGTCACCCACCCCCACCCCCCTTCCTTCCTCTGTAGATTCTGATAGTGTGTGCTCCTTCCTGGAGACCATGTGCCTTTCCTCTGCATGTTAATTAGCTTTATTTTAAAATCCTAAAATTAATCCTTAATGGGCTATTTTTAGCTTTCATCTTGTAGCTCTGGGAGTTGGCTTCTCTCCGTGCAAAGCCATGGGCATTCTGTGGGCTTTGGAAAGGAAACATTCCTCTTTTAGTGCCAGTTCACATGTAGATGAGGTTGTGTGCTTGCCTGGATTTTCAGGTACTTGAATCAAGGAAAAGGAGGTCCCTTCCTGTCCCACATTCCAGAGCTCCTATGGAAGCTCTGTGTGTAGGGCTGAATTTACAAAAGCCCTTTTCCTAGTTCTGTTACCTCTTTCTAGTACGGGTCAAGTGTAAAATGCCATTGGATCAGAAAAAGAAAACTTTTCTTATCTATATGGATGGGAGCAATTGGTTCGCGTTTGCTATGCTGGTTGAGTAGAATAGAATATAAATTAATAGAAAATCACCAAAATACTTGCTGTGAGGTTTTTTAACATGGTTGTCTGATGAACTTTCACCACTGGACTTGCTGTGGCTGAATCAGAAAGAGATTACATTATGTCGAAACTTGGTGCTATCAACATACACCACCAGTGTCTTTTATCTGAAGATTTGTTATTGAACAAAAAATGAGGAACAAGGAATATGATACTAAAATAGAATAATGGTACAGACCACAAATAGTTCTTTGTGCAAGGATTCTTGCACAGCAAAATAAGTAAAGATCATCAGTACCTTCAGAGACAGAATCTATGAAGATACCATCTGTTGCATGCACTTAGATTCTATTTTGCCCATACTTGCAAATGGCTTATACTTGCATATGACTCATCTTGTCCTTTATTTGGGTACATATCCCGTTATTACTTGAGGTGCTTTATGAGTTATTTTTACACTCATTTATGTTTACATCAAGGGGTTTCCCTGACAGGTCACTGGGATTTTTGCAAGCGTCCTCTTAGATCTGCATTGACACAGTTACGAATGTTTAAACTTTAGCCAAGCAAGTAATTTCAAAGAACCCATACGTTATTGGTGTAAGTATGCTCAAATCATAGAACTAGTGTTACTTGGGCAACCATTCCTATCAAACTAATCCTATAGTCTGCTAAAACCTTATGCCAAACTTCTGTAACCTCAGATGCTGTAATCTGACTTGTATCACAGCAAAGTTAGCTTTTTGGGTTCTCTTTAGATATGTTTCAACCAAAGTGGAAATTTCCCCCAGGAAAAAAGCTCCCCCAAATCTTTGCATAGCCACCAGTCATCAGGCTTTCCTCTGAAGCAGACTTTGATGAGTTCAGCAACAACGGGAAAATTTACTGCCACATCCAGGAGACATAGAATTAGAATAGTTAGGGTTGGAAAGGACCTTAAGGTCATCTAGTTCCAACCCCCCTGCCATGAGCAGGGACACCACACACTAAACTATGTCGCCCAAGGCTCTGTCCAACCTGGCCTTGAACACTGCCAGGAGTGGAGCATTCACAACTTCCTTGGGCAACCCACTCCAGTGCCTCACCACCCTCACTGTGAAGAACTTCTTCCTTAGATCTAATCTAAACCTCACCTGTTTAAGTATAAACCCATTACCCCTCGTCCTACCACTACAGTCCCTAATGAAGAGTCCCTCCCCAACATCCTTATAGGCCCCCTTCAGATACTGGAAGGCTGCTCTGAGGTCTTCACGCAGCCTTCTCTTCTCCAGGCTGAACAGCCCCAACTTTCTCAGCCTGTCTTCATACGGGAGGTGCTCCAGTCCTCTTATCTTCCTCGTGGTCCTCCTCTGGACTTGCTCCAACAGCTCCATGTCCTTTTTATGTTGAGGACACCAGAACTGGACACAATACTCCAAGTGAGGTCTCACAAGAGCAGAGTAGAGGGGCAGGATCACCTCCTTTGACCTGCTGGTCGTGCTTCTTTTGATGCAGCCCAGGATACGTTTGGTTTCTGGGCTGCAAGCGCACACTGCCTGCTCATGTCAAGCTTCTCATCAATCACCACCCCCAAGTCCTTCTCCGCAGGGCTCCTGTAGCTGTGCCTGGGGTTGTGCCAACCCAGGTGTAGGACCTTGCACTTGTCTTGGTTAAACTTCATAGGGTTGGCATCGGACCACCTCACAAGCGTGTCAAGGTCCCTCTGGATGGCATCCCTTCCCTCCAGCGTATCAACCGAGCCACACAGCTTGGTGTCGTCGGCAAACTTGCTGAGGGCGCACTCAATCCCACTGAACATGTCCCCTACAAAGATATTGAACAACACAGGTCCCAACACCGATCCCTGAGGGACACCACTCATTACTGGTCTCCAACTGGACATTGAGCTATTTACTGCAACTCTTTGCATGCAGCCATCCAGCCGGTTCTTTATCCACTGAGTGGTCCATCCATCAAATTGATGTCTCTCCAATTTAGAGACAAGGAGGTCATGTGGGACAGTGTTCAACGCTTTGCACAAGTTCAGGTAGATGCCGTCAACTGCCTTGCCCCTATCCATCAGTTCTGTAGCCCCACCATAGAAAGCCACCAAATTGGTCAGGCAGCATTTCCCCTTAGTGAAACCATGTTGGTTGACACCAACCACCTTGTCATTTTTCATGTGTCTTAGCATGCTTTCCAGGAGAAACTGCTCCAAGATTTTGCAGGCACAGAGGTGAGACTGACTGGTCTATAGTTCCTTGGGGCTTCCACCTTCCCCTTCTTGAAAATGGGGGTTATATTTCCCTTCTTCCAGTCATCAGGAACTTCACCTGACTGCCATGATTTTTCAAATATGATGGACAGTGGCCGAGCAACTTCATTTGCCAGCTCCTTCAGGATCCACAGATGGATTTTAACAGGTCCCATGGACTTGTGCACGTTCAGGTTCTTAAGAGGGTCTCAAACCTGATCCTCTCCTACAGTGGGCCTAAGGTCTTCATTCTCACAGTCCCTGCGTTTGCCTTCCAAGACTTGGGTGGTGTGGTCTGAGCTTTAATAATACACAGATGCTGCTTTTCCAGGTGTGCAGTCTAAGTAAACCTTTCTACATACTGCCTCTGATTTCCTCCAGATCCTGCTCATGCTATTTCTTAATAGAGCAGAAGTCTATGAGGAAAACAGTAACTCCTCGACAGAGCACAGTGCATAGCCCTGGAGATGTTCTCACTGAACAGGTTATGTTCAGTGCCAGATGCTTGTCAGCTGCATCAGAGAAATGCTCTGCCCACATCTGTATTTCACCCCTGCAGCAGAAACTTCTTTGCTAGCTTGAGCTGTCAGTAAAAGGCCACTGATGTGGCTGTACTCCAGTGCTGGTACCAGTTTGGTCACCTCTCTCTTGGCTGATGTGTTCAAGGCACATCCAGGCTAGTCTGCCCAAAATTCGAAAGCGACAATTTGGTTTCAGTCATGGTATCAGACTAACTTCCAAAATGGTGAACATGAGGTTCAAATGTCAGACACTCATCATCTGCCTCCCAAATGCTGAACCTCCTCTGCCCACCTCTGTGTGTGTAACACCTACTGCAGCTGCCTGACCAGGAAGTGCCAAGTACACTTCAGGAGCCAGCAAGGCTCAGCAGACCCAGCTGAGCACAGGGGACACAGCTGCATGTCCTGAACTGATCAACACAAATGATGGTAGCAAGTTTGTGATGTGGGATGTGAACTGTGACCGTGAGAAGTATTATTCCTGAATGGGGGCAAACACACCTCATGGGAGGGCCCAGTAACCTCTGCTTGACAACACTCATTTTTCAAAACCTCTGAGTCAGGCTGCAGGAATCCTGAGAGTGCTTCTAAATAACATGTTTGAGGATCTTTTTCCATTTCTTCAGTTGTTTTGGGGGTTTTATCTTGAGCCTTTGGGTCCCTCATAGTTTAGTATTTCCAAGTTCTTCCCTTCCCTTTTCTTTCAGAATGATGAGAAACACTCTTAGAAGGAAAAAGGAAAAGAAAAAGAAAACTTGGCACATCTCCTGATCTGTCAGAGGCTCCAGCCTCATGATGTGTTCAAGGGTGTCCAGCCTCATGAAATGATCAAGGGTGGGCACTGTGGCATTAAGCTTGCCCTGAGCACTGCTACAGATACTAAAGGGTGGGCAACTTGCCTTTTGGAAAGCAAACCTTTTTTAACTTCAATCTGATTCAGACACAGATTTTCATTCCCCAGACAGAGCAGGCAATTTCTCCTATCGACTGCTCTGCTCCAAATGCGATTGGCAACATCCTGTTTTTAGTGAGATGGCTCGCAGCAACCAAGTACAAAACACAACGCTGAATACCATGATGTCCCAGTACAATGTTCTGTGATGTAAATGTGAACCCCAAGATTATTGTAGGGTTATTGCACTGATCTTTGTACAGGTAGGTTTATTTTTCCACTCCAAAGTGAATAATGAACGGGATTCATACACTTGACCTTAACTCTATCACCTGTAGTTCTTCCACCACTCACTGCAGGAGTGCTGGAGGGACAAGTGAAGGGAGAAACTTGGCATCACAGCTACACATGGCATCACTCCCACTTGAGCGATCTTTAGAGGAAGAACAAGAGATCTTTTCTTGAAATAGATGCATCACATCAGGCATCTGTTTCAAGCTACACTGAAATTTTGACTTGTAAGAGGGGTTGCAAAGCACACAAGAATGTTAGCAGGAGGGGAGGGAGGATGAACACTTGCATGGATGCTGAACATGATATATCAGACTTAATCCTTTGGCTCTGTTTGTTTGAATCTACTGTACTCGGTAGCAGGCAGCCTGCAGCAACCTTGCACTGTGTTACATGTGATAAAAGTGCAGGTTCTGTGAACACAGAAACTCAGCAGCCAGAATATTCAATCGGGCTTCACAGAGCAAGGGGAAACTATCACTTAAGATACCATCTTGTGTTAGTAAGAGGCATAGACCGGCAGAACCACAAACCTAAACTGCACAAAGCAAGCATCACTCCTGTCGCCTAGCTGATCATAAACTCCTTCCTTTCCAAGCAAATGATGCCACCGAGGAGTAAGCACTAGGTTCAGATCTCACTGACCAGTGTGCCCTAGTCCAGGAGCTGCAGGAAGGGGACACGTAAGAAACAATTCACCCACCCAGCAGTCTGTCCATGACATTCCTTGTGAACAGGTGACAAGATCAGTGTGCGGGCCTGGTCCTTACACTGGAATGTCACCCACATCTGCCCAGTGGCCACTTCCTACCTGCCTTTCCGCTACAGCAGGAAGCTTTGCCCTTGGTGCCTCTGCCCCCAGCAGCCTGGGCCCTGATGTCCAGCACGGCTTTCGGAGCACATCTTCCTGCCTCCTACCCCAGCAAGGAGATGCTGGCAGTGCATCCACATAACAGCCAGGGTTTGTGTCTTGCAGTGGGACCTGGTCGCTTTGTAGCCTATCACAGTCTATCACAGTGCTTATGACAAAGGGTGATCAAGCTCCTGTGGTGACATTTTCTTATTTCCCTTCCCTCATTTATAGCGCACCATGAACAGAGAGTTCCAAGTAAATGAGATCATCGTAACAGTAACAACTTTCTCTCTGTAAATATATCACAAGTAAATTTAGGAGGTCTGAGGAAAAATCCACCTCAACAACTTCTTCGAGGCTATAGATGCTATAGGAGGCAAGCACTCTGGATACAGGAGAAAAACCTTCTATGTGTGCTCAGTGTGGGAAGTGCTTCCAAACCAAGACAAGCACTGTAAACTTCACCTGAAATAGGCAGCGGGACAGTATTCCCCTTGGGTCTATGAGCATCGGTGCCTTGCCTTAAAGAAAAATCAATTATAAGTTCTATGGTGTGATTGAATGAAGGAAGAAACCACCAAGGAGAGGTGAGGTCCTCTGTCACAGTAAGTGTGGGTTGCTGATGAGGTATGAGGAGGGTGGCAGCGTAGGGACAGAAGTGGGAATGAGCTTTCTGTAAGCAGGAATAGCTTGTCATGGAGACTGAAGGAAGGGATGTGGTAGCAAGAAATAGGGAGGAAGTTCAGCAGAAGAGAAATTTGGTGCTTAGAAATCTGATTGTTGGGGACACAGCCCTTGGGTATATGTAAACATCCCACTGTCCTACTGAGAAGGCAGAAATGACAAAGTAAGCTCTGGCAATGGGAGCCTGTATTCATGAAATGGGTCACTTACTGAACTGCAGAAGAAGAGTTGTCTTATATTCACTCTGGCACCGTCTGTAAGTATTTTAGGAGATCTGTTAAACCTGGGCAAAGATGTCCCAGTTTTCTGGTTTGTGTTGTAGTATTCTAGCTCTCTGATGTATTAAGTGCCTTCCCCTATTAAGTACTACTCTGCTTCTGTTGTTCTTCGCATTCCTTTCCTGCTCTATTTCCATGTGCCCAGATTGTCCTTTCTACTCCTACTTTGGTGACAGAGCAGCCATGGCTGCACCCATCTTTACACTGGACTGTAAAATGAAATAGCGCTAGCCTAGAAAAATAACGGGTGTTACTGTGTTAAACACCTTCTTTGTGCTTTTCTAAGCAGAGTTTGATAACCACCTTCAGAAGTATTTTGTCTTACACAAAAGAGAAAGAACCTTATTCCACCCTGGAGACAATGGAGAGAACCATGTATATGTAAGTATACGGAGCTGATCAGCAGCTTTATGAGCAGCACTCAGAGGTCTGTGGGTTTTACATACTTGGGAATCTTTCGGAGGCTTATGGCCAGCTCAGAGCCTTCTGCCTAGGAAGAGAGTGAAAGCAGGCAACGGGAAGGGAGCAGAGTATGAATGGTGGTGACTGGAGGGACAAAGACTGCAAAGGAAGCCAGAAGGGGCTGGAAATGGAAACAGAAATGGAGGGAACCAGAGGGGAACCAAATATGTACAGAGGGGGATGGAAAGGAGCCATCTGGTGAGAAAAAAGCCAACAATGCAGGGGACTGGAAGGGAAAAGAATGTGAATGGTGAGGCTCAAGGGGAGAAGACATGAACAGATGGGCTGTAGCTAAACAGATCTGTCACCAGAGAGGTCTAGACAGAATGAGAACATGAAGGGAGAGGGAAAGCACCAATGTAGGGAGCAGGAGAGGAAGAGAGCTCCCATCAGAGGGCAGTGGGGTATAGGGTTAGAGCAGGGGGGCTAGACCCTGGAGGTTTGAGTTCTGGTGGTGTGCAGGCAGGGGGCAAAGGGGCTAGGTATGGGCCTCCTTCAGGATGGGATAGATCCGTGTGCTCACTAATAAAGAAGGAAATCTGATGGAAGTGTTCAGCATACTGTTTGCTCGGTGGAGCAGGGTAGAGGCTTTGACATGGTTATCTCTGAAAGGATGGCATTCAAAGTATTAGTTTGCTAAGTGTTTACACAGTCATCAGTGGGAGCCTGGAAAAGTTACTTCTGTTTGCCCAAAGTATGAGCAGAAGTTCTGGTGGCTGGTATTCTTCTGCTTCAGATCTCACATACTTCACCCAACATGTTAGTAAAGAAAAAGGTGGTATTTGCTCCGGGAGTATCTAATGTCCAGGGCACTGAATAATTGAACACAGATTTTAAGCTGCCAACATCTCTGGAAATGTGATTTATTTACACTAGTACTCAGTCAGATAAAATGTTTCTGTGACACCATCCTGAACAGAACAGAGAAATTCCCACCTTTCAGAGCTGTTCTCAGCAAGTGAGCTGTATGTTTAAGAAGCAAACAGTGGATCACATCTATTTATTCAGACAGGTTCTACATTTTTGGTCTGAAACTCAAGTCACACGTTCTGCAGAAACTCATGTGCCGTCAGAAAAGCACAGGGACAACACAGGTGCAGCTATCAGCTGAAATTAGCCTTTGTTCCCAGCTGAAACCCAGAAATACCATGATTTTTTGCTTTCAGCACTGTTTATTTTTCTTCAGAGTTCACAAATGCCATGACTCTGCAAGAGAAACCCTTCAGAGACCAAGCTGTTGTCTTGCAGTACTTTTCTCCTATTCATCTTGTCAAAGCTGTTGTTCTGCTGGGCAGCCAGCAGATCTGTTGCAGTATTGGAATTGCTAACTAGGAAAATGAAAATGGATGAGGAAGCCCTCATCTGACAAAATCTTGCCCTTGTCTCCTTCCATACACCATACTAACTAAACCTATGTCTCACTTACTTTGTACTTTCAGCCTTGCCATGCTTACAGGGCCCAGATTTGCTCTCAAGTTTGACTGTCAGGTGAATGGCACATGAAACTGGACAATGCTTTTGAAAAAGTGAGCAAGATTTGTAACAGCTTTTGCAATATGGTGGCTTCTACCCCCTCTGTGTTTGGTAAGGCTGGCAAGAGCTGAGTGCTTAGTAGTATATGTTTGTAGTATATATTTGTAAATATATAGCTAAGTGGTATATATTTATAAAGTGTAATTGTAGTTCTAGGATAAATAGTGCTTTACAAAAGCCTTTAAGGTGGCATGGAGTGATAAGAAGGGCTAATATGTTCACACCATAGGCTGTGTGAGTCATACTAAAACAATGTCTTCATGCTTCACAAGATCTAGAAGTGGATGTGGCCTGTGCAGTAAAATCACTCTGGTCAGCCTGTACTCAGTAAACAAATAAGAGATTCACTTCTATTTACTGTAGGTTGGGAGTGGGGATGAGGGGGCTGATACAATAAGTCTCCATTTAAACACTTTGAGTTATTTGCTGCTGCTGTTCACCCAGCTCTCCTCTGGCTCAAGGCTCTACTTGTTTAGCCAGGTCTCAGCTCCTCCTAAGACTTAGGCAGCTTTGCTTTTCAAGTACAGCCTTCTCTGTGGGACCATGGAGGCAATCCACTGACCAGTGCTCTGCTTCGCCTCTTCCCATGTGTAGCGGGGCACATAGCCAAAATCATTACGTGCTTTTCTATAAGAGAAGGTGAATGGGGTGTTCAGTAGAGTGACCAGGTGACGATTGGTGGAGGGGATGTATCTGACAAAGGGACGGAGCAAGAAGCTCACAATCTCCAGCAGCAGTGAGAAGTAATACAGCATTGTTAGAGGCATGGGGAGCTGGGGCTCAATCCCAAACCCCAGGTCTCTGGTCAGCTCGTAATTCAGATCTGCATAGCTCATATGAGGAGTGTCATCCGAGATGTAGTAGAACTGCCCCCTGATGTGCTTGGCTTTCTGTGGGTCTTGCAGGGCTCTGGCTGCCTGCACGTGTGCCCAGGCAATGTTTCCCACATACACGGGGTTCACCAGAGCCTCCTTCCTGGAGAAGCGCAGGTAGACGTTTCTGTTCAACAGACATTTATCTAGATGACCTAGAAGAAATGGGCATCCTTCTCCAAAGATGTACATGGATCTCAGGGCACAAGTCATCAGTGTGCCACCATCTTTTAGCACCTGGCCATCTGCTTTCAGCACAGAATCCTCTGCCAGTCTCTTACTCTGGGCATAAGGAAATTTTGACATACTCTCATAAGCTGTATCTTCATCGCCATTGAAAATTGGGTCACCTTTGCAGTTGGGGCCTGTCACTTCAATGGTACTAGTATATATGAAGTGCTGGATGTTATAGCGGACACATGCCTCCAGCAGTAGCTGTGTACCTTCAAAAGAGAAACATGCAAGTCAATCTAGAGCCCCCCAAGCTGGAAAAAGTGAGTTTTAGATCAGAAACAGCATCCCTGGCCTGAGCATGGCTAGATATCCCCTCTCTAGAGCTGGAAGAATTCTGTCCTAAACTGAGCAAGTTCAGTGAAGCTGAATCTGCTCTGAATCTGTATTTAAGTGGTATCAGTGCACTTGCCAGTGTTAAACAAGGATGAACACTTGGTCTGAATTGCATGTTGTGGGGGATTTTTATGCCAAGAGTCCAATTTCACTGTTGCTTACGTTAGCATGGATACTGTCCACAAATCCAGGGGCTTGTGCCTGTTGATTGGATTGACTTGGCTTAAGGCAGAGAACTTTCAGAAGTCGCCCCCATCCATCCAGGATGCTGAAGCCCCTGTTTCCCAGGCTTGTGGATGTTCTTGGATGGTTTGCTAAGCATTAACTGAGAATTTATGTGGGACCTGCAGATTTGTTCCAAAATCAGCTTCGCCCAGTGCAAGTCTATCCACTATTCAATTGGCTTCAATGCAGGGCTTGAAGAGAGAGATCTTATGGACAATGCAAAATACCATGCAATCTAAGAGCATAAAGTGCAGTGAGCAAAGTGATGCTTGTGTATGTGTGCCTCCTTTTTCAGCATATTCTAGCTTTTATTTGCAATAGTACAGGATTTCTTGCTTTTAAAATCCTATCACAATGCTTTCATCAAGGGGAGTAGAGGTAAACTGGCAAGTCCAGGGTCTTTCAAATAGCCAAGAGGGTAAAGCTAGGAAAGAACATTCAAGGGGGATATAAATACTTTAATCATTTGTGCTGGTTTAATTGCAAGTAGGCTCTTCTCTTTTACTTCTGAGCTTTGAGGCACAAATTGCCTTATTTGTTGTGCATGGTGTAATGAGAGAGATTATATGTGAAAGGCCAGTGACTTGAGAACAGAAGATACAGTTTAAAGACATTTCAAAATGTTTTTGGGAAGGAACATTAAACCAAAATGACTGATATGATATCACAAGGGTGTGGCCTATTATCTAAGGGATAAAATCAAACACTAGCAGTGAGGCATAGAAATGATCTAACAAGTCTGCTCAGTCTGTTATGACAACTCAAGGCAGAACAATGCAGACCAGGCTAGCATTGCTAAAGAGAATATAACGAATAAAAGTGGTTCAGAGGACCAAGGAATATTGGCAGCAAAACATGGACCCATTAAGGAGTGAAAAATGCAAAGAATTATTGAACTGAATATTGTTAAGGCACCAAAATTCCTTTTTCTAAGCCTGAACGAGAAAAAGAAAGAAGTTTAAGAAACACTAAATAAGTGCAAGAAAAAAAAGGTTACACAGCCAGGAATAAAAAGTGAGTTCATGCAAGGAACTATGTTTAGGTGACACACAAGCCAGGCTCATCTGGAACATTAATTGACAAAATATATTATTTTAAAAACTAATAGCTCAATTCTTGCCGTCAATGCTGCTTGAGGGCATGTAATAAAGTGCAGAAGGACTAGATAAAATCAAATGAAGCAAACATAAAGTTATCTTGACAGCTTGTATCTGTTCAAGATCAAATTCACCCAAATAAAATGTGTTTTATTTGCAAAACAAAGTTGTATGTAAGAAATGAAAATAGGAATTTGGGCATCTTTCACATATTCACACGTAATGAAGTAAATCTGCCATGGAGCAGGTCTCCAAGTGTTGCTTGCACGCAACGCACTTCTGGCTGGAGTTCTGATTCACACAGGGTACTTTTGTTTGGATTATATTCAATTATTTTCTCAATTCCCTTCCAACCTAAAAATGTACTCGTGTTCTAAAAAGCTTTTTTGCACTGAGGCCTCACATGTGTGGTGTGTGAGGCAGAGGAAAGCCCTGCATCACAGCGAGATGCACTTGTTTGCTTCTGTTCTAGGTTGTGAACATTGACAGGTGATTTCTTGATACATTTAATTTATAAAAGTTCTGTTTTCTGGGACAACCAAAACTTTCTTCTTGCAAGTCTATGTAAGCCAAGACATAGCATCTTGGCTGGTCAGAAAGCCAGAACATCAGAATGGAAATAGAAGCAAACAGGGAAGAGGACAGCAGTATTTACTGACTGATCTTAGGCTCACTTGGCTCTAGGACCAGGTCTGGTGTGTGCTTTCATTCTACCAAATGTTATCAGCTAACCCTCACTGGCCCAGCGGGCTTTACTTCACCCCAGGCACACGGTTTGGGGAGATCTGAAAGGTTTATGAAAACCTAGTTACTTTGTGCTTAAGCCTAAACTGACAAAAGAAATGATGGGACAGACTTAAACTCTCTAGATCTGACTCCAGCTTAGAGCAAGAGAGCTTTCTACTTTAGGGACATTTTAATATTTGTCTAGGTTTATGTTGTAGTTTTTGTTTCCCCCCATAGGTTTAGGCAACACCTGCTGCTGTGAAAGACAGATTGTAGCAGGAGTATGTTCATAAAGAAAGAGTTTTACAACTCCTCTTTCTGAACTACCACCCCAGTATATTTATTTGTCATAGTACCCAATGCACAGGTTTACAGGAACTCGCCCTTCTACTCTTCCCTCCTGGTAGGAAGCTAAGAAGCTGCCCACTGGCCTCTAATTTGTGGTGACAGATGATTTGTGGCTTTGAGCAGAAATGAAAGGGTCTGGAAGCTGAATGTACAGCCAGGCGAAAACAGCCAAAATGCCATCCTACTGTTTTCAAGGTGCATGTAAGAGACAACTCAACTGCAAAGAACACTCACTTGTTATAAATGCTGGTGAGTAGCCAGTATTTGTTAAAGTGGTGCCTATAGGGGTATGTTTCTTATTTTTCTGTGAAGAAGCCCTGTATCAGTGGCAGAGAGGAACAAAGAACCAGGAAAACTACTCACAGAAATAAGAACATCTTCCCCAAACCTTCACCAAGGAGCTGAAGCAGTACAGCCAGGGAGGTCAGTGTGCATGTGGGTTAGGCAGCAGCAGTTCATTGAAAGGCACAGAGGGTTTTGGGATCGCAGGGAGTGAGATGAAGTTGTTCTTTTAGGACATATAAATTTCCTGGTGGCTGATGCCACACTGCCTACGCAAAAGCCTCCCCCTTCGTCTGAGCTGACAAGGAACAGGGGTTCCTTAGTAGAAAGAGAGGTCCCATCACTGAGTGAGAAGTTACTGAAACCCCTCCTTCACACAGCTTTGAGGTTGATGGGGGATATTTAATGATAAGATCAAGGTGGGAGAGCACCTACTCCTCTGAAATGAATTCGTACACACACAGACATAACGGTAAAGGGGAGAAAAAGGAGAAGAGAAGGAAGAAAAAGGATAGGATGCAGAGAGCCACAGGGGGTGGGATGTTAGCCGTGCAAGGTTGCTGTAATTGCAGCCAAAGCCTGCAGTGTTTAGAACAAATGAAAACAGGCAGGATGCTTCATGGGGAGGGAGGGTGGGTAAGAACTGGTTTCTCAGATATGCATTGGGATTTCAGAAGGTTAATTGCTTCCAGAAAGGTCCACTGAGCATGGTATTATGGCTATCCACACTTAAGGCAGACCTGTGCAGATCTCAGGACGGGCATATGTGAGCGCTGACTAGAGTAAATGATCCTGCAGTGGAAGACCAGTGCACACTGGGTGTGTAGAGGTCTAGAGCTCCATGGGGCTGCACATAGGCATGCTTTTCACTCACAGGTGTGGCTGTGCAAGACGCAGAACAACCTGGTTAATCTGGCTCAGAAAACCAGGTTGGGTGCCCCCTTTCCTGAGCAGATGATGATCAGAACACAGTAGACATAGGTCTGGGAAAGGTGCTTCACTCACTTACCTGTCACATTGACTTCCCAGAGCAGCTGCTTCTCTATGAGGCCCAAGGTGTCAATGATGGAAGCCGTGTGGATGACAAGAGAGATGCCCTGGCAGGCGCGGTGCAGGAACATCACATCCCGGATGTCCCCTTCCAGGATTTTCACCTCAGTCTTACCCTGGAACTCTGCAAAGGCAACAGAAAACAAAGCAAAAGACCTTGCAAGCATCCTGAGAAGAGCACTGAAAGGAGTGGATATTTTAAGGCTAGCAAAACAGAAGGCATTTTCCAGTGCTAATTACAGTGCTGTAGAAGTCTATGTTGAATTACCTACCATATTTTTGGAGCCAATATTCACCATGGTTCTTCTTTTTTTGTTGTTGTTTAAAAGAAAACTCTTTCACACTGCTATCAAGGGCTTGGAGCTTCCTTCAGGTGTGACTGTTCTAAAGTTCACAGCTGGGATAGCTTTAGCTGTGCCTGTTCTTCTGACTGAATCTTTTTAAAAGTGATAATCCAAGTATACCAATAAGCCCTGCACTGTATGCTCCTGTCTTCAAGGTGATAAATGATCTCTCTCCACCCACAGCATGTGTGCACAGAGCTGTGTTCACACCTATTTTCTGCCCCTTGACCTTGCGCATATTGCAGCTCTTTTAATACGTTACTTTCAGTTCTGACACATCTTTTTGATGTATCTTGGCCAGGATTTACTGTGCCTCTTCTAAATCCAGCTCTGGCTTCATTTCAGTGTCTGTGCTGTGGGGTCATGCTTAGCATGCACAACTTTCTGGTCCTAATCTAAACTCTCAAGGCTGTTCCCTGAGCTACCTCAGCCCTGACTTGCTTTAACGCCTGCCTTTGAAGCCTTCCCAGTACCCAATGTGTGTGATCCTGGTGGCGCTCTAGATCTCAGAGCCACCATTTCTATAAGTTTCACTGGGCAGAAGCATCCTTTATACAGCCCAGGACTGCACTAACAAAACGAAGGCAGCAGAGGATGGCCTCCTGGAGGCGATGCTGCTCTCCTAGCGGGTCTGGTGGCCTGGCTGCAGCTATGACTTTCTTAGCATGTCCTACAGGAGGTGTTGCCATTACAGCAAGCGCTCTGCCCAGACCCTACTGTGCCTGTGCTGGACGGCTCCCCAGGCAGGAGCAGGGAAGCAGCTGAAGCACAGGTGCGTCCTCTATCTTGTCCTAATGCAGCCAAACGCCCGTTTTAAATGAGAGAAGAACCTGATTCATTTATACAGCTTTTAGCCTCAGCCCTTACTGAAATCATCCTAGTGCTGTGTCAGCTCCAGAGTGGGCAGGATTTCGTCCCATGGCTTTAACAGAGAAGAGAGAAAGCTGCTGAGATCTGGAACTGAGCGGAGAGCTTTTACAGTGTTTATATCCCATGATCTCTATAGCACACTAGAATGTAATCCTGTATTAATTTAACAATTATTCCAAGGCAACAGGCTTGAGGGTCTTTTTTTTTCATCACAGTTGGTCTGAGATATAAAATCTGTGAAACATTTACAAAACTGTTCCTAAATCTAGAGTTACTGCCCGGTACGGTCACTGCCACACGCTCTCTTATGTTCTTTTATTTTACAGAGTGCATTCATTTCCTACGGCTCTGTTTCCAGAAGCTTTACACTGACCTCTACTTGCATGGGTGCAAAAGAGTCAGATTATGGGGCTAGGCTTTTTGCTAAGCACCTGGAGTTAGATTTGCTCTAATAAACATTAATCTTTGTACAGCCCTTAGGTTGATGTTCTCCATGAGTAAGGTTTTGCGGGGTTGCAATAATCCAAAGGACTGCCATACGTAGTTTTCACAATGTAAATGCTCACATGTGGCTCCTTCAGAGTAGCCACTGTGCCTGGGCAGGAGTTGGAAAAATGGAAGCTTCTATATATGCAAACCAAAGCTTTCAGTAAAAATATAAAAGAAATACGTCCCTTTTAAAGCTCATCACAGGCATAGTTGGTATCAGCCATTAGAAATCTGCTGTAGAGCTGCTTTGTGCCTTGATTGGGCTTGCAATTTAAGTTGTGTACAATATGAGGTAGGAAAGCTGCTCCTCCACTCCACTTTTGCCATGCTAAGTACAATACGGGCCTGGTTCACTTTGCCAGCATCAGCTAGTTGTCAGGAATCAGCAGAATGATCTTCTTTTGCTCTGGGGAAGAGGAAAGCTGCAGGTGATCTTGGAAGCAGGGAGAGGAAAGAAGAAATGACTGACAGACAGTGGTTTCAGACTGAAATGAACAGCAGAGAGAAACTTGATTTCCATCTGTGCAAACCATTGCCCAGGGATCAGAACAAACATGTGTGTGTGAGATACAAAATGAATTCAACTCAGGTCTCCATTTCTGCCTACAGTGATTATGAGAAAGTACCCACTGGGAAAGCTGCTTTTACTTCAGCAATGGTTTCTGTGTCCTCTGAGCTGTAAGCAATGCTCCCTGTTTTCTATGGGACCGTTTTTGCTTGGAAATGCAATGATTACTCAATAAGATTCAGTATCCTGTTGTGAGCAGTGTCTGACTCAGCGGCCAGTCCAGTCGGACTATTTGCCCTAGACTGTCTCTTTCTTTTCTATGTGTTGTTTAAAGTTCAGGCAAATAGCAATGGCTGTGGGACTTACCTTAAGTTTCTCAGTGCTGTTTTATAGAGGTCCTAACAGCTGTGGGGTAGGTGGTGGGGAAAGGCATTCCTCATGAGAGGCTTTCACCACCCTGATTAACTGGGTAGTTCATTCAAATGCTCTACTTTGTGTATTCATAGGAGAAAATTACAAACTGCATCCTATTTTCATTTGTAAAGGGTAAAGCAATTTATTTCTTGGCCTAAGAAAGCTACTGGGTGTTCTACTGCTACTCTGCCTTTCTGTTTTGAATGCAGTGATAAAGTCAAATTATTGTCTGCAACTTTGAGCAAAAAGCCAGGAGGAAGATTCCCAGAGCAGGAATTTTCTCACAGCAAAAGTCCTGGAAAAAAGACCCATATTCCTTCTCCTCTACTTTCCTTCTCCTTTGCAGCAGTACCGGGTTAGTAGTGCAAAAACACTCAATGCTCAAGCATCAAACAATCTAAAAATGTCTGTCTCGGAAAAATATTTTATGCCTGATTTCTTTGCTGGTGTGAAAGAAAGGGATAAAGCAAGACTTCCTTGAAATAAAACCTCTATCTGCAAAAACTGGTTTGGATGAGAGGTAAAGACTTCCAAGCTATCCACATGAGACAACAGCACATACACTTGCAAAACATAGTTCTTAGGAGATGGTACTTACTTCCAAATTCCCCGAGGACTTCCTCGCTAAAGGCTTTGTCCAGCAGTCGGATCTCAGCCAGCGCCTCCTTTTCTTCCAGCAGCAAGCGCACAATCCTCTGGCCAAGAAATCCCCCTGCTCCTGTCACCAGACAGCTTACCCCAGCCAGGGACATTGCTCTGGGCTGCTCCTCGGAGGCAAACTGGCTGCGTCTTGAGCTTCCACCAGCCGGTTCCCCTCCTGCCTAAGAAAATGAACACATGGCATCAGCCTCTGGAGTCTTTACAGATCAAAGGCTGTTACCAGAAGGAGAGACTCCTGGAAAACAAACTCTCAACCCTACATTAAACAGCAATTCTTAAAGCATGTCTTACTTTTGCTAGCTACTTCTATTCAGAAGTAGCCTACATGCTTTTCCATGCAAAGAAAAAACTCTTTACAAACTATTACAAATTAAAGAAATCAACAAATCTGAAAATGCCCCACATCGACTTCAATGCCAAACAAACCCCACAAAAGTCTTCTTCAATCCTTGGCTCCAGCTCTCTAGCGCTCAAAAGCCTGTGGGGGAGATTTGCCTGTATTTATATACTGCAGAGCACCACCTTGGTAAGTTTGCTTCCCCTCCCTCTCACATTGCAAACGAATCTGGTGTTTCCACCTCCCCCTCTCAAAGACGAAGGATGCAGCAAGGTCTTGCGTGCCTAGATCCTTGGAGGGTAAACCTCATGCTGATAATTCCCTGTATCTGCATTTACTTGTGTAATACAGCATTAATATGAAGGTAGAGAGCATTACAATTAAAAGTAAATAGCAGGAGTAGCTGTTTATAATGGTTTGAGAAGTGGACTCTGCTGCTGTACTTTTTTGGATACTGGGCTCCCCCATTATAGCATGGGTTTCTTACTTTCTCTATACAAGCTCGAAAGCTAACATCTGAGATTTTGTATTTGTTCAGGACACTTGAAGCATTCAAAGTAATGAAGAGGTCTAATGTGCCACTAAAATTAAACTAAAGCAGCAGGAGAAAAAGATTCCCCTCTGCAACGTCTGGTGTGAGAGTCCCTGGTCAAAGTAAGGCTGGGGCTGGCTGGCTGTGCCATTGCAGCCAACCTTTCTCATCTCCAAAATACAGGGAAAATGCCCTGGAGTTTCCCTCTAGGGTTTCACTCCAGTTCTAGGAAAACTCTTTTTGCTAGTGTGAGACCAGGGCAGGGTCTAGGTCTTAGCCTGAAGCTCCTAATACCTCCATTGCCTTCCTGGGTCTTTGCGCACTGTCAGGACATGCTGCCTGGGGCTGTTATTTCCTCCCTCTCTCACAAAGGGCCAGGCAGACATCCCTACTGAAGCAGGAAGATAAACTGGTAGCTGCTTAAGCAAGAAGGGAGTTACAAAGAAGCCCAGCAATGCAGCAAATGAGGATGAAACCACTGGGAAGGGGATCACTGATTCCAGGCACAGCTGGAATGGATCTCTAAAAATGCTTTGCTTGCATTCATGTGACTAACTGCTAAACTCCTGTTTCTTTAATTCTGTCATGGATTTTGTTCCCTCATTAAAGAGAGCACTGGAGAAAAACTATAGAGGCGGTACCCCCATATTGTGACCTTTTTAGAGTAAAACTGGGCCCAGAAGTGACAGGAGAAAAGCAAAACCATTTCTCTTGGAGGAGAGAGGCATTCTAGCTGACATAGATGGCAAAGTCTCAGCAATTGTTTCAATCACAGCGTCCTTGAGAATCCTTCCCTTACCCCAACAAAGCTTTAAACAGTTTGTTATCAGCTCTTCTTTCCTTGGCTTCTCTCAGTAAGAACCTTGACACTGTACGTTCTTATCAAAGCTGCCACGAATTAATTGTGTGCAGTAAATGCATTTTGCAAGGGAAAATAACTGACCAAAGCCTGCTGTTGCAACCAGTGTTGTCTGAAACAGGGCTTCCTTTTTACTGTTAGAAAGGGAATGAAATGCCTTAAAGAGGCATTATAAAAACAGGCAACACACCATAGCCTCTTAGGATAGAAAATATTATCTTACACCAAGCTTGCTTATTAGAATGACCAAGTTTAGCAGGAGTAGTGCTTCATATGAGAATATGCATGGAGACCTCATAGCAGCCTTCCAGTATCTGAAGGGGACCTACGAGGATGCTGGAGAGGGACCCTTCATCGGGTACTGTAGGAATAGGACAAGGGGTGATGGGTTCAAACTGAAACAGGGAAAGTTCAGGTTAGATGTAAGGAAGTTCTTTACTGTGAGGGTGCTGAGGCACTGGAACAGATTGCCCAAAGGAGTGGTAAATGCTCCATCCCTGGCAGTGTTCAAGGCCAGGGAGTCTTGGGCAGCATGGTCTAGTGTGAAGTATCCCTGCCCGTGGCAGGGGTTTGGAACTGGATGATCTTATGGTCCTTTCCAACCCAAACCAGTCTATGGTTATATGAGTGCTACATAGAGGACTGTAGGGAGATTTAGTGCTGCTGTGTTTTCATCCTTTCAAGCACTACTAGGCCAAGTGCCTGGCTTGGTTTGATGGAATTTTATACATTGCTACATAGCAGCCTCCGTTTGAGCTGCTGCTTGTGAATGTCAGGGATCAGACAGCAGCAGTTTGCTTAGTTCCAGAGCAGACTTGCTGGTGTTTCCTGTGGCCTCACCTAAAGACAACATTTTTGCCCTCTGTTTCTTCTTGACATTGCCATGTGGGGATGCTGGGTGGTGAGACGGCTCCTCTGTGCTGCAGACAAGACTGGCTCTTGTGTTCCTGAAGAACATGGAGGCAGATGCTGTACACCCCAAAACAGTGTCAATGAGCAACAAGGCCAGAGTCCCTCAGACCCCTGACCACCAGGAACAACTTGAAGAGGTTCAGAACTACTGCATGGGTCTGGGATTTGCAGACTAAAATGTAATTCAGCAGCACCTAAAAATTTACAAAGTCTGCATTCTATGTCAAGGTGTAGTCATTTTTAACTACCTTTTCTTCTTCTCCTTGACTTTATTGTGAAATGAGGGCTTCATGATCTGACCTTTTGCTGTAGTATCTAATCTAAGTCTCCCCTCAGTCAGCTTAAAGCTTTTTGTCTAGAAAAGCAGCCCGATTTAGGAAAGGGATTTCTGGAGTCTGCCCTGTTGCCCAGGCTGACGAGAACTGAAGCAGTGAAAAGCTAAGGCATGCTCATTAGTTAACTGCACCTTTTGCTGTCTAAACATAGACTACTTGTGACCAAAAAGCTACAAAAAAATCCATGTGCTTCTCGTGAAAAATTAATGTGTTTCTTACCATCATATACCTGTAAGCTCAAGATGCCTGGATGCCTGCAGCTTTAGGAAAGAGATTGTGCTTTGAGATGTCGAACTCAAGGACAGCTGCTGCCCTTCATGGTGGGAGACACTGTTCTCTGCTGGAAACACTTTCTTCTCTCTTCTGGTTACACATTGACAAGAGACAACAAAACTTAAATGATTAACTTTTGGAAGCTGTGCTGAATCAAACTCTGAATAAACACGACTTCTCATATTGGGGAATAGTTTTAAGATACTTTAACCAAGGTATGAAAGTAACCACCTGAAGAGACCTCAATGTTTCTGTGTATTAAAACCTGACAAGGAAAATACCTCTTATTTCAGTAGTACCAAAATTCTTCCACTAGAAGGGAGAAAGTGATTGTAAACTTTTCTTACATGATCCCCAACCTCAGAAAGCCTTGTAGGATTCTTTGCTATATTAGACAGCACATGAATTGGGCAATCAAATAAAACCAAACCTTTAGTCTCATTTTCCCTTTAGCTATAGGCAGAGCTGTGTTTCCTCAACTGAAATTGATGAGTGAATTATATTTAAAGGCTGTAGATATTTGCACCATATGCAAAGCAAAATGCTTATATTTGGATCTACTTTTTAGATAAATAGACTGATTCCTTGGCCCTGCTAGATCCTCCGGAGATGTTGGGAGGCAGCAGGGTTTGATTAGTCTTTAAACTACATATTTACAACCTCTTTGGGCACAGTTCTTTTGAAAGATTTGACCTTACTTGAATTTGTATTAGGGGCATTCACAATAATCAAATACAGAAAGCAGGAAGGGGAGTGTGAGGCTGCTTAATCCGGACCATAGGAAACTTTCAGAGTCTTGGAAAAGCTGTAGGATGGGTTTGCTCAGTATACTCTCAGCCTGGTCAAACCCTGTGAGTTCTTCTTTTAAGTTCACTCACCAAATAGCTTTATTTTTCCCTTAGAAAATGCTTTTTGCAGCCTCTTTCACAGAAGGTTAGGTATTGCCTCTGCAGCTCCATGGTAGTTGTTCATCGCAACACACCAGTACAGCAGGGTGCAGATCTGATGGGTGGCTCTGATTTTATGATTCTGTGATGCCCCCCAACGATTTAGACTGAAAGGAGCCTCTGGAGGTCTCTGACCCAACCTTTTATCAAAGCAGCATCAGACCAGATGAGGTTGATCAGGCCCTTGGTCAGTCAAGCTCTGAATATCACCAGGGATGGATGTTTCAGAAACCCTCTGTTGCACTGCCTGACCACCCTCATGCTGAATTTTTTCCCACTAATTTCTAGCTGGAATTTTCCTCATAGCAACTTCTGCCTGTTGCCTTTCACCCTTTTATTGTACACATCCAAGAAGTTGGGCTGCATCTTCACTGTTTCCTACGACTCAGTAGTAAAAGACAGCGATGTGAATACCCCTTCCCCTTGCCTTTAGCCTTCTCAGGACTGAGCACGCCCAGCTGACTCAGTCTCTTGTACATCCTTGAAATCCATCAATGTGTGCAATGTAGTGGAATTCCTGAGTCTTATCTGCTGGGCTGTCAGTCTGCCAGCAAGGATTGTTATTACTGGAGCAGAGAGGAAGGCCTCCATGTGAAGGCCTCTGGAAGATCACTGCAGACACTGGTATCTCTTTGAGAAATTCAGGTCTAAACAGAGTGAGCCAACAGGGCTCAATCTTCTGCCTCATTAAGGCAAATCGAAAGCAGAGCTCATGCAGAAGGTCACTTCTTGATAAGGTGGCTCCTCCTCCACATGTCAGGGAAGTGGGCACTGGGGCATCTGCCAGTGGCAAAACGGGCTGTGACAGGGTGTCTGCACCACTGTGAGCTGCCTCTTTGCCCCAGAAGTGATACTCTACCATGGGCCACGGCTTGCCCTTGGAAACTCACCTGAAGAGAGCTTTATCACTTGCCCCAGGATTCACATGCCCAGTTCTGTAACCGTTCCCCACTGGTAGTGATCCCTGTGGCATCATACTCGCAGAAGCCTGGCCAGCAAAATCTTCCCTGCCCCTTCCTTGCAGGGGCATGCAGAATTAACTATGTGTGCAGGCATTGGAATAGGTGCTCATCTGAAAGGGGAGAAGGGACTAGGAGGATATTCTGTATCAAGGGACGCAGTTTTCCATGTCTGGATGTTACAACCGAGTTTGCGAGTAAGGCCCAATACAGGTAATGCCACAAAACATCTAGTTTAAATAGAATGTATTAAAACAAGTAACAATTACTCAAGGTGCTGAAGAACCCATTGATCTCAGTAAAAACAGAGACAAGCCTTTGCAACATGGAACCTTTCATAATCTCCTAAGAAGTTTCCTACAGGCCATATCAGA